ATGCTGGCCAGATGGAGCACCTCTGGTGAACGGCTGCAGGGGTTAAGGGGCTAGAACATGAAGAGTCCCACAGGCATGGGGGGCCCCTCCTGGGCTCCCCATCTCCAGCTCAGAAAACACAGCCTGTCTTGCACCTTCCTGTCTTGCAATAGCCTGGAGGTGCTTCAGGGCATGAAGGTTCTACCTAGGGAATCCTTATCTCTGTCTCCAGAGGAGGTCCTGGCTAGGGGGTCTCTAGGTTCCCCAAAACTTGTTTCCGGAAAGACCCGGTCTGAGGTTTCCGGGGTCTCCTCCCTTCCTGGGGAAGGGGTCTTGGTGGGATCCCGGGGTCCCCAGCCCCCAGGGCCGCTACTCACCGTGGGTCATCACTGTACTGCACTGTGGCAAAGCGCACACCCTGTGCACTGGCTGCTCCAGAGAAAGGCAGCACCAGCCCTTCGAGAAAGCTGCGGACCTCGCGGAAATTGCTGCGGCCAATGGATGAGGAGCCATCCAGTAAGAACACAATGTCAGCGGCGTAAAGGCGCGTGCAGGTCACTGGGGCGGGCAGAAGAGATCAGGGCCTCTTCTGGGAGGCCAACCACCCGCCTCCCCGCACGGTGGCCTCGCTGGGACTTGGGATGGTGGGGAGAGTAGGCCTCATCTTATGCAAACCAGGGCCGAGTCGGCCTGAGCCTGGGGGCCTTGGAGGGAGTCGAGCTGGGTGGGTCCCAGAGCAGACTCCCGCGGGGGGTTGGGGTGTGCGTGGGAGGGAGAGTCGCCAGCACGGTTGTGGACTTGGAACTGAGGTCAGCCTCTAGGGGCCGGCGCGGATTGACATAAGGCAGGGGACCCCGCGTGCATCCAGGGAGCCAGAATTTGAGTCGCAACAGGATAGGAGGCAGTTTAGGGAACCCAGCACCGACCGCGGAGGGTTCGGGGAGTCCCAGAATTAGGAGGAATCCTCAGGGAGTCGCGGAGTTGGCTGGGTTGTGGGCGGGGGGGTGTCGGGGATGAAGGCCGAGTGGAGCGGAGGGTGACACACACGGTGCAGTGCCCCAGGCCGGGTCCTCCCTTGCGGTGCCCCGGGCCGGGTCCTCCCTTGCGGTGCCCACCTCTCTCCCTGTGCTGGGCTCGCACTCGGGGCGCCCCTGCCAGGATCCCGGCGCAGAGCGCGGCCACCAGAAGCCGCAGCCTCATCCTAGTCGGTAGAAGCAGTCAGCTAGGACCCCCGCCTCTGCCCCTTGCTCCCCTGCGGCCTTGGCGGGTCCGAGCCCAGCGCCCCTCCAGCCCGAGTCCTGGTCTTGCCTGCGCGTCCGCCCGCTCCTGCCGCCGCCGCTGCTGCAGTCCCGCGGGCAGAGCCAGAGCAGAGAAAAGTCCCTGATCTCGGGGGGCGGAGCGGCAGGCGGGGACCCAGGCACCCGCCCTCACACACATCCCTGAGAGGTCGCCGCCCCCACCACCCCTCCCCCAGACAAACGATATGACGCACTTAACTATAAACCCACCGACCCCCCTTGGCTTCTGGGAATTTCCCAGAAGGTTCTCCATGGACAGATGCTGAGGGAGTACCCCTAACTCCATCTAAGGTCACAGGTCTTGGCTGCTTTAGGTCAATCACAGTGACCAGGCTGAGGAGTGGACAGGTTCCTGCAGAGCCACAAGGCAGCAGCGCCGTGGGGGGTGGGGGCTGCAGCTGAGGATGACTCACCCCCAATCCGGTGGGGGTGCCCAGACAAGCCCTCAGGCCATGGGTCCCGCCGGCCACTCCTGTGATTCAGCCATCTGTCTGGTGGGCCTCCTGAGCCCCACCCCAATCTCCTTGACAGGAGAGAAGCCCTGGCAAATGAGTGACTCTGGGCCTGTCTTAGGGAAACCAAGGTCCCCTTGGCCTAGATCCAAGTAACTCACACTGTCTTTGTAGGGGATAAGCCAGAAGGAGGAGAGAACCTGTGTCATGCTTATGCATATGTCCCAGTGTCCCACACCCTCTACCATGTCCCAGGCAGATGCAATCCAGCTGTGCCTGAAGGGAGGGGGCCGCCCATCTGTGGAGAGCGGGACCACCCACAGTGACAGCTCATCTCTCAGGAATCCAGCCCTCCATGCCCCAGGCCGGGTCCCCCTACCTACATGTCCTCACCCATAGGCATCCCCTCCTTCCATCTACTTTTCTTGCAGGTCCCTGCCACCCATCTCCCCCACCAGGCCGAGGTCTCCTTGGGCCCCTTCCTCCTTTCCTCATTGCCCTCATGGTACCTGTAGCTTCTGGCTTCATAACTGCCCGCTACCTTACTCCTCTCCCCTTACCCAGGCTGACTTCCCACCCTCCCCCAGCTTGGCTTCTGAGGCTGTGGACAGTCCCCCAACACACCAGACCAGGGCCACTGTCCCAAGGAGGTGGGACTTTGTATATGCGTATCTCTTCATTAGATGGGTGACACTAAGGCAGAGAGGCACCCCTAAGAAGGGCAGGCCTCCATCTGGGTCCTGCTCCCCCTTTTTTTCCTGCTAATCCTGAATAACTCTGGGCAGCCCAGAAAGCACATCTATACTCACCAAGGCTGCTGGGCCCCTTCTAATATGCCCAGCCCCACAGCCTGAGGACTCCGGTGTGGCCAGAGCTGGAGGCAGTGAAGGCCATCCATGCTGCCTGCTTTCCTATTGCCCAAGGAAGGCTGGGGCTATTCCTTATTACTGACCCCCGAAACTATCCTGGGGCACAGTGCTGTGACCCCATGGGGCCTAGAACCTTATTCCAAGGTCAGAGTCTCCTCAACCGTGTCCCAGGACCCCCCATCCCTGCAAGGTGTGCTCCAGGTGAGGGCTGCAGAGAACCACATATGTTCTCATCACACAAGCAGCCCCTTCCCACTAAGACTGTCACTTCCTCCTGCACAGCCAGGGTGGGCGAGAGCAGGCCAGTGGCACAGACAGTACAGTACAGACATATGTGCACACGTGGGCCAGCCTTAGGGGAGACAGGAGGCCCAGCTGGGAGGGTGGGTGCTCAGGCAAACCTCATCAGAATTGAGGTGCCCCCAAAAGAAAGGACAGGTTGCTGTGAGAGGGTCTCTCAAAGGGTGCTGGGAGAGGCTGTTGGGAAGGTAGGAGTAAGGTTGGAATGACTACATGTCTGGAGCTCCTATGAGGCTTATGAGCAGGAGTGTGGCCCTCTGAGGCCCCGGCTCTGGCCTCCTGGGAGGCACACAGCCTAGGGCACAGCCCCAGAGGCCAGTACCTATCTGCAATCCCATCAGGGCAGTGGAGCCCCCAGAGCACATCTTTCTCCCTCCCAAGCTTCCCTGAACATTTCCTTCCCTGGCCTCAGTCACTACCTCTCCCCATCTGTTTCCAACCAGGGCCTCTTTATCAGGTGCCAGCCCCACACATCCCACTGTGCCCTGGACACCACCAAACTCCTCACTGGACTATGGAAGATTACCCTCCTCCAATCCACTCCTGCCCCTGCGTCTCCCAGCCCTGCTGGGAATGTAGTCCTCTTTGTGTCCCCTGCAGCTGGCTCCAGCTCTTGTGTGGCCATGACCTCTGCTCTGCCACAGCACAGCTCACCAGGACTGATACAGAAATGTGGCCCGAGAGTCCCCATGCTGAATCTCAACGCTGACCAAGTCACTTCTCTTCATGGTAACCTCCACACACCTCCCCAGCATGGCTCCAGGGTAAAGACCAGAGTCCCTGGCTTGGTATGCAAGGTCCCTTAGAACCAGACCACTTCCAGCAGCTCAAGCTCTCGTGACCAGCACACCTGTAGTCTCTAAGGGCCAGGCTGGGCTTACAGATGAAGCCCCATCCTCCAGGAGCTCAAACTTGGCAACAGACTTGGCACTTGTTCCCCTGCCTGGGTGTTGCATCTCCACGAGCACCCAGGGTTGGGCCTGTCAGGGTTCTGCGCTGCCCAGCATCTTCTCTCCAGCGGTTCACAAAGTAGAATGATCTGTGCAATGCCCTGGTCCCGCACCATAGAAGGTGCTTAACAAATGTCTCCGAATTGACAACTTATGGCACCCAATGGTGAAGGAAAGGCACTGGGGCAGGGTGAGAACGGTACAAGGGTTCCTTGGGCTACTTCCAAGCTAGGAGGCCGGGGGGACTTCTCAACAGCCCTCTTCTAAACGACCTTGTCCCAGCATCCTGCTTGTGATTGCCAGGCAGTGACTTCCTCAAAGGAAAACTGGGCCCCTCACTTTCAACTTCCCCCTGGGATCCCAGAGAACCTGATTGTGGAAGCACTGGGGGGTGAAGGAGGAACGGCCTACCTGCCCACCCACCATGGGGACCAGAATCCAGAGAGATAACAGAGGGACTAGGTAGCTAAGAGCTGTACCGGGTCCTGGCAGCCTCAGGAAAATGGGGAGGGGATTGTCAGGGCAGCAGCTCTGGACTTGCCTGGGACAGATGTAGTTGAAGGAGGGGGCTTGGGCCCCACTGAGCTCAGGGCTATTCTTGGAGCCTGAGTCAGCGGAGGCAAAGGATTCTTGCCCTGCTTGTCCAGGCAGCAGTTAGAAACCAAATGGGAACACTATGCCCCAGGCTATCCTCCTCCCAGAATCCAGAGTAAACACACGCAAGAGGCATCCTTGGAGATACCCCTTGGCCCCTCTGGTCCACCCCAGCAAACTAGAGACCACCAGGGGGTGACCTGGCACAAGGTCCACAGTGAGGGGTTTCCCACCTGAGCCCCCAGGGATTCCAGGCTGGGACTCCTACAGGGGCAAAGGCTGGGTTTACACTTCCTATGGACTCCCATAGCCCACTCTTGGGACCGGTTGGCTGAGGAACATCCCCTAAGTGGCTGAGTGGAAACATCTGGGCTCAGCTCCCTGCAGGCATCAAAGACTTCTGGCCTCTGCTGCAGCCCCCATGCTTGCCCCTGGCTGAGGACACATCAGCCTGTGGGAAGGCAGGAGGATCCAGGAGCTGCAGAACTAGAGGGAAGTCCTTGCTCCCCATCTACTGCCCCATGGACTCCATGCCAATGCCAAAAGAGGGACGACACATTTCTCAGCAGAAGATTTTATTGGTGGTCACCTGCGGCACAGGTTAGAGGAGCCGGAGTGCTGTGTTTGTGGTGGGGGGACCACGAGCCCCAGCCCAGCTCTCTTGTTTACACAGGCTTCCCGCCTAGAAGCGCAGCCAGAACATGCCGCTACGGATCCGGTTGTAGTCTGGGAGCTGCTCAATGGGGCCTGTGGGGATAGGGTGGAGCGTCAGGGTGGGGTACCTGGCCTGCACAGGGACACCTGGCCCTGTGCCGCACCCAGTTCGGAGCTGCTGCCTAGAGCAGCACAAGACAGGCTTTGAGTGGAAAGAGGGAAGAGAACATTCCCCCCAGGGGTGCTGAGCCTGTCCCTTCATGTTCTGGCCCTTGAAGCCCCACCCCACATGGAGGTGCCCGTTACCTGACGGGTGCAGGGTATTGATGGAGGCACCCTGGCAGGCAGTCAAGGAACTGCCGGGACAGGTTTTCTGAGCAAGAACTCCCTGGCAGCCAGGGGACTTGGGAGAGCTGCTTGGGGCCTTAACTGGCTGCTCTGTAAGCTGAGCAGCAGTGGGGGAGCAGAGGTGGAAGGCGAGGCCAAGAGAATGGCCTGAGGAAATAAACAAAGAGCAGATCCCCTAGGCCACTTACCATATCCAGCCACCGCTGGGCACTGGTCATAGATGTACTTGGAGCAGATCTCACGCACCACACTGGCATCCACCTCCTGCAGGGTGAGGCAGAGGACATACTAGCTAACAGGCACCTGGCCACCACCTCAGCCAGTCAGCATCATCCAACTAGCTGAGATCTCCCACAGGCAGCATGCAGCTGTCCCCAACCCAAAAGGGGAAAGGCGGAAGGGATCCCTGCTATAGACTTCCATGGGCCACACCCATCTCCACAGCCATCAGCACCTCTGCCCTGCCCTCCCACTATGCTATCCCTGCAGGTGACAGCTGCCTAGGACACCAGGGATGCCTATAGAAGCAGGCTCTGCTGTGCCAGGCCCCAACGCTGCACCTCCAGGTGTCTGTCAGGTCAAGATTCCAGAACCTCTCCCAGGGGCCCATGTTACCGCAATCCGGCTTTCCCATTCAGCCAGGGGGATGCGGCGGCCATAGGTCAGGAGGCTGCGACCAATGTCCTCACACACAGGAGTAGTGCCTTTAAGGGTGGGGGAGGGCTCAGAAGTCCACCCAGCCCAATCCTGGACCCACAGGTACACAAACAACTTCCAGCCTAAGGTTGACGAGGACCTCCCTGACCTCATGCTGACCCAGATCACAGCCCTCTCTTCTGTGGTCACCTATTATGGTAGCGATGGGCTGTGGACCTGTCCCACACCTGCCTGCATCTCCAAGGGTGGGGTGATGGGGCACAGTGTGGTCTTCAAAGTTTTCCTTTCTAACTTTGGTTAGTTAGGAGTGGTGGCCACCTTGGGGCTGTCGCTGGCAAGATGCACTCTATCCCTCCCCACTGAGCTACAGGACTCACCATCTAGATGAGACACCAGGGCATTTCTGAGGATGTTTTTGCCCCGGGCCACCTCACTCTCCGTGGCACTGGTACACAGGCGCATCCTAAAGTCGGAGGGGGCGGGGGTGGGTGGGTGGTGTTCACTTTGAGCCAATGTGTCCTCTCTCAGCCTCCCACTGCACTGGTTAAAGCCGCCATCCCACCTAGGAGTACCAGGCTGCCACTTACCACTGCCCTTGCAGGACGAACATCATGTCATCGATTTTCATTCGGTCACAGACAAAGTGTGCACCCAGCAAACCCGTGTCTGCATAGCAGATGCTGAAGGTCTGGAAACTCTGGCATAGCTTGTTGGCCACGGCACCTGAAGCCAGCGGGCTGGACAGGTGCTGCCAGGGGGATAGGTGGTCAGCACCCACCCTCGTCTTCAACCCATACTGTGACCCCCATGCACAGAAGCACACAGCCCCAGCACCCTCTCTTCCCTGAAGGTGAGGTACCATGCTCACTCTGGCACTCACCACGCCACCACCGTAAGTGCAATCATAGTGGCCGATGATGGCATTGGCCACTTGCAAGGCCACATTGTCCGGGCTGGCCCAGCCAGGACCCTCTACTGCAATGGCCACATGAGCAAAAGGTAGAGCATCGTCACGGTGGCGGATCTGAAACAGTATATGACAAGGTTGAGGGACAGCCAGACTGCCGGGGGAACAGAAAAGGTGGGTAGAGGGTGTACGTGTGTGTGACCACGTGTGCCTGTGACGCAGAAGCCAGAGAACCCTTTCCCAACTGCTGAGGTATCTCTGGAGTCACTAGGATAACCATGCACATGTGGGTCCTCCCACAGGCCCCCAGCTGAGCACTACCCCGGCCCAATAGGCAGCACACCTCACTGCCAGTGAAGCGGCACGGAGTAAGAGCGGGCACAGTGTCCTCTGCGTATGTCCAAGGGATGTCACCAAGGTGCTTCTGGGCAAGGTCTAACAGTTGCTGGTGCTCCACTCCTGCTGAGACAGACAGTGGCATTACTGACCAGCCAGGGCCCAAAGCACAGGGTGCAGGGGAGTTCACAGACAGGCGGAGGACCCCCATGTCCTGTCTTAGTGGGAGAAACCAGGAGTATGTGACATTAGAACAAGGTGAGGAAAGAAGGTCCTCCTCAGACAGACCCTGCCTTGTGGACAGGACAGACACCTCAGGGCCAGATAGCTCCCATGGCCTCAGTCCTAGAAGAGCAGCAGCGCTCAGAACTTCAACACGGGCTGCCATGTGATGTAAGTGTGGGTTCTCACTTAAGAAGATGCATTCCACCTATATCAAGGACAAGACTGGTACTCCTGGGTACAAAGCCACCTGGCCTGCCTTTTCCCTCTAGCTCTCCCTCAAGTATTTCTGGCTGCTGGCCCGGCAGGGGGTGGCAAGTGAGGGGGCAGAAAGAGGTGCTATTACAGGGCTGTGATAAGGTCTGGGGTCCCCTGAGAGCTGGGGACATTTGAAAATAATGTTACAAACGTATACCCTAGGACTCCTTGGATCTGGCCTCCTCACCTCCACAAGAGGGCTCTGTGGTGCCACCAGTTACGCTGGCCTTTTTTCTCCCCCTCCAAGACGGAGTCTCGCTCTGTTGCCCAGGCTGGAGCACAGTGACGCGATCTTAGCTCACTGCAAGCTCCGCCTCGCGGGTTCACGCTATTCTCCTGCCTCAGCCTCCCAAGTAACTGGGACTATAGGTGCCCGACACCATGCCTGTCTAATTTTTTTGTATTTTCAGTAGAGGCGGGGTTTCACTGTGTTAGCCAGGATGGTCTCGATCTCCTGACCTCGTGATCCGCCCACCTCAGCCTCCCAAAGTGCTGGGATTACAGGCGTGAGCCACTGCACCCGGCCTGTGTTGGCCTATTTTGTTTTTGTTTTTGTTTTTTGTTTTTTTGAGACGGAGTCTCGCTCCTGTCGCCCAGACTGGAGTGCAGTGGCACGATCTCGGCTCCCTGCAAGCTCCACCTCCCAGGTTCATGCCATTCTCCTGCCTCAGCCTCCCAAGTAGCTGGGACTACAGGCGCCCGCTACCACGCCCGGCTAATTTTTTTGTATTTTTAGTAGAGATGGGGTTTCACCGTGTTAGCCAGGATGGTCTCAATCTCTTGACCTCGTGATCCGCCTGCCTCGGCCTCCCAAAAAGTTCTGGGATTACAGGCGTGAGCCACCGCACCCTGCCCTGTGTTGGCCTTTTATTCCTTCCGTGAGCTCAAGCCCTGCTAGTCTGACAGACATGTCAGACTGCTCTTACCCCCAGGTTCCTCAGCTCCAAAACCCCGGTCATGTTCATCCTATTGGTCTTTTATGCATACTCAGCTGCCAAAGTCAGCTCAGCTGGGAAGCTTTTTTTTTTTTTTTTTGAGATGGAGTCTCACTCTGTTGCCCAGGCCAGAGTGCAGTGGCACAATCTCAGCTCACTGCAACCTCCGCCCCCCGGGTTCAAGCGATTCTCCTGCCTCAGCCTTCCAAGTAGCTGGGATTATAGGTGCCTGCCACCACACCTGGCTAATTTTTGTACTTTTACTAGAGACAGGGTTTTGCCATGTTGGCTAGGCTGGTCTCGAACTCCTGACCTCAAGTGATTAACCTACCTCAGCCTCCCAAAGTGCTAGGATTACAGGCGTGAGCCACCACGCCCAGCCAAGATGGGAAGCATCTTAACCTCAGTTCCTTACCCATGTCCAGACCCCAACCAGGTTCCATCTATAAAACCACCTGGAGTACATTTACTGCTCCCCCTTGCTCCTGCCATCTCCTGCCCAGTCCCTACCACAGCCCCTCTCTAGCTAGCCTGCCTGCACTGTGACCCCACACAGCAGCAGAGCAAACCTCAGACCATGACATGCTCTTCCCCTGTGCTCAGTTCCCCATACCACCTAAGTAACACTCACCACCTTTCAGGCTTCTGTTCAAACTACAGGTGCTTTAAAAAGCCCCTCCCCCAACCTACAACTCTGAGGCCCCAGTGAAATCTCCCCGACCCCTCTGTGCCTTCCTTTCAAGGCACTTCTTGGTCTGTTATCAGGCATGCATCAATACACAACTAATGGCTGGCTCTCCCAAGGGCAAGGCCACAAGGAACAAGGCCAGGGGCTTACATCCCCTACCAGCCCATAAACTCAGTATTCTAGGACCAGGTGGGGCTAAGACAGACCTGTACCAGAGGGACAGCATCCTGTTTAACCAGTCCCAGTGGTGGCAGCAGGGTAGACTCCTATCCCACCTCAGACAGCACAGGCAGAAGGTCATTCCCCTCAAGGTTAGGGTGGGAGCAGGGTCCCCTGGGGTGGAACGTCCCCTATGGTGGGAACCAGGACCTTGGCTTTGATAACCAAGGCTAGGACCCCACTTCAGTGAGTCCATCACTCACCTCCAGCTGCTGCCAGCACCATTCGAGGGGCCTTGTAATGAGTGCTGAGGTACTCGGTCAAGTCTGCACGAGACAGCTTCCTACAAGACATATGGCCAGTGTGTCAGCACCTCTACCACACTGGAGTGAGTTGGGGTGTGTGCGTGAATGGGACTGAGGAGGCAGACTAGGAGAGGCATGGTTTCTCCGAAGAGTGGGCCCTAGCACACCCCCGACCCCCTTTCCCCATCTCTGCCACCCACCCCTCCAAGGCCCAGAGGGCAACCCTCGTCTGCCCTTGCCTCATGCCTGACCTCAGGACAGGCTCATAGTCTTCTCTGAGAATGTGTGAGCCAACACTGTAGGACTCTCAAAGGGCAGTATCAAAGCTCCCAGAGCCATCACCAAAGGAGACAAGAGACCACATGGAGGGGACACCCAGACACCCCGCCCTTGGACTGTCAGGACATGCACCAAAACATACCTTAAAACAAAGCCCAAAACTCAAGTGAAGCCCACAAAGCCATTAAAAAAGACTCACTGGACCACATGGATATAGAAACTGTCTCCAATCGCATGACTCAGGAAAATAACCCCGACAGTTAGCCAACTAAAAATGTGACCTGGAAAGGGTCTGGCCAGGCGAGAATGGGGCAAGCATCCCACCACAAGCCCAGCCAACTCTCACCTGACATTCTCACTGGGCCCCTCCACAGCCTGGGCTAGAGGTGTGCCCTGGAATGCTGTGGCATGCAGGTAGTCAAAGACCACGTCTCGCATAGATGCGTCATTCTCCTGCATCTCCCGCAGGATCACATCACGTTCCTTCTCGATCTGTGAGTCTTCCAGACTACAGTTCTGCACAATGTCACCCAAGAGCTCCACAACTAGATGCAAGAAGGACATGTTTAGGTGCCAGGTGGACCACTGGAGACCAACGACAGCACAAAATCCCCAGGCCTGGCATCTCCTGCTGCCCACCCCTAGTTGCCCAGCTGCAAAGCCATACGCTAAGGGTAATATGATTCTGTGGTCAGCCAGGGACTCCTGGGTAGCTGTCCTCTGCCCCCCTGCCCTCTGCCCCACCTCTTCCTCCAGGTGTTACCTTTTGGCAGATCCTTGGACAGCGCCTTGATGTAGTAAGCTGTGTGTTCCCGGGTGCTGTAGGCATTAAGATGGGCCCCCATGCTCTCCACCTCCTTCTCCAGGGCACTGCCAGGCCGATTCTTTGTTCCCTGGAATCAGATATCAACCAGACCAATCAGAAGCCACACAGGAGCCCAAGAACCCTGTCCTCAGAGGCTAAAGATCCAGCAGGACCACTGGTCCACAGGTACCTCCCTCAGCATAGACTCTGGGGACACAGATCCCAGAGTCTGTGTTTACCAAGTACTAAGCTGGCCTTGTGGTGACCAAGGCCATGGCATCATGGGCCAACAGAATAGAGATAACCAGGACCAGGACAGAAGGGCATGGCCAGACCAAGTGTTTCCTAAAGCTCCTGTAACACCTTACCAACGAGCAGCGAGGTCATTACCAGTACACCTCCCCCTTCTTATTGACAGCCATGGTCAGGTAAGCCCACACCTGTGTTCAAGTGATAGAACCCACTCCTCCCATGCCATTCCCATGACTGTATGTGTCTGTTTATACATGCTAGTGGCCACCTCTGTGGGACCCAATCCTAGTCCTATGTGTGGAGAACAGTGGTGCTATCTCTTGGTTAATACTGCACACATACCCGTGACATTGCAGCTGGCTGGGTTGCCCATTAGAGCTCCATGGCCCTGCCCACCCCAACCAAGGGATGCCCAGGTATTCCACCACAGCAGAACATTTCATAAGCAAGCATGTATGCCCATGTCTGTGGGTTTGTTACAATGCACGTGCATATCTATGTGTGTTCCACAGGTCTCCTGTATGCATGCACATAACACAGGCCTGGCTTCTCTGGTGAAAAGTGGGGTTCCTGTGGTTCCTTGGGTCTTCTTGGCTCTGAGGGCCTTATGCAGGGGCTCATCAGATACGTGCCTACTCAGGAGACGTTAAGCTCATGTGGTTCCTTTTAGGAAGGCTGGCCAGACATCAGCCCGCCATTGAGGCCCATAATCAGGCTATTTTTTCTGACCTTCATCCTCAGGAGGGACAACAGGCAGCCCTAAGCCCAGAGGAGACAGACTTCAAGAGCCTCACCTTGAAAGCCAGATGCTCCAAAAAGTAGCCTGCCCCATTGTTCTTCTCAGTCTCAAAACGGCTGCCAACATCAATCCACACTCCCACCTGGACAAGAAGCCACCAACAAAGGTTACAAACAAACCACTCCCCAGCCCCCTACTCACACCCCACCTGAGTGACTCAGTACAAGCCCCAGGCAGGGACTCATGAATCCTGGAGTCAGGGAGAACCGCCCCAGCAGGACCCCTGTGCTTGGAGATACAGTCATGCCTGGCAAACAGAGGGCCAGCCGAATGACTAGTCACACTGCATCACTGCTCTCCTGATTGGCTATCAAGGACCCCCAGGGACACTTCTAACTGTGTACATTTACCTGGTCTCACCAGCATACAAAATCCTTAAATTCACTCTCACTTTTCAGTTAATTATTTGTTTTTGTCTAGGCATACAACACATCATTTGCAAACAACTACTTATTTTTTCCTTTCTAAAAATTACACGCTGCCTTTGTTCTGGCAATGATTTGATCCTTTCATCATTAAGGAAGGGACTATTGGTTTAGACTGTATATTTTATCACACTAAATATTGTTCCTATAACACCATTTTGTTGTCGTTTTTAATCAGATCTGGACACCAAACACTGCCCAGTGTTGCCCTGGCACCCAATAAGATAATATTAATTTTCTTGACAGCCTCCTGGTTGCTGTGAAACATGCACCACAGGCCAGGCGTGGTGCCTTATACCTGTAATCCCAGCACTTTGGGAGGCCGAGGCGGGTGGATCACGAGGTCAGGAGTTTGAGACCAGCCTGGCCAACATGGTGAAACCCTGTCTCTACTACAAATACAAAAATTAGTTGAGCATGGTGGCACATGCCTATAGTCCCAGCTACTTGGGAGGCTGACGCAGAAGAATCGCTTGAGCCCGGGAGGCAGAGGTTGTAGTGAGTCCAGACTGTGCCACTGCACTCCAGCCTGGGTGAGACAGAGACTCCATCTCAAAAAAAAAAAAAAAAAAAAAAAAGAAAGAAAGAAGAAAAAGAAACAGAAACATGTACCACTCACCCCACCTGGTCACATGGTCTAGTCTTTTAATTTAGTATTTGTTCACAGCTGATTTAAGTTTTTCACATCTACTTTCCTAAGATACTTTTCTTTTTCGAGACAGAGTCTCACTCTGTCACCCAGGCTGGAGTGCAATGGTGTGATCTCGGCTCACTCCCGGGTTCACGCCATTCTCCTGCCTCAGCCTCCCGAGTAGCTGGGACTATAGGCGCCTGCCACCACACCCGGCTAATTTTTTGTATTTTTAGTAGAGATGGGGTTTTACCATGTTAGCCAGGATGCTCTCGATCTCCTGACCTTGTGACCCACCCGCCTCAGCCTCCCAAAGTGCTGGGATTACAGGCGTGAGCCACCGCGCTCGGCCACTTTTTTTGTTTTGACATGGAGTCTCACTCGGTCACGAGGCTGGAGTGCAGTGGCCTGATGTCAGCTCACTCAACCTCTGCTTCCTGGGTTCAAGCGATTCTCCTGCTTCAGCCTTACGAGTAGCTGGGACTATAGGTGTGTGCCACCACGCCCAGCTAATTTTTGTATTTTTAGTAGAGGTGGGGTTTCACCACGTTGGCCAGGATGGTCTTAATCTCTTGACCTCATAATCCGCCTGCCTCGGTCTCCCAAAGTGCTAGAACTACAGGGATGAGCCACTGCGCCAAGACTTTTTTTTAATTGTATAAATTTATGGGGTACAAGCGCAATTTTTAAAAGTTTCTATCCACACCCAAAACTCCATTTTTTTTTTTTTTTTTAAAGACAGAGGGCCTTGCTCTGTCACCTAGGCCAGAGTAATCATGGCTCACTGCAACCTCGTATTCCTGGGCTCAATTGATCCTCCTGCTTTGGCCTCTCAAAGCCCTGGAATTACCTGTGTTAGCCACTGTGCCCCGCACACAAGTGCAATGTCGTTACATGCACAGAATGCACAAGTAGTCAAGGGAGTTCAAGACCAGCCTGACCAATGTGGAGAAACCCCATCTCTACTAAAAATACAAAAAATTAGCCAGGCACGGTGGCACATGCCTGCAATCCCAGTTACTCAGGAGGTTGAGGCAGGAGAATCACTTGAACCCGGGAGATGGAGGTTGCTGTGAGCCAAGACTGCACCATTGCACACCAGCCTGTGTAACAAGAGCGAAACTCTGTCTCCAAAAAAAAAAAAAAAAAAAAAGCACAAGTAGTCAAATCAGGGCTTTTATGTTATCCATCACCAGAATAACACACCTTGTACCCATTAAGCAATTTCTTCTTCTTTTTTTTTTTTTTTGAGATGGACTCTCGCTCTGTCACTCAGGCTGGAGTACAGTGGCACGATCTTGGCTCACTGCAATCTCTGCCTCTCGGGTTCAAGCGATTCTCCTGCCTCAGCCTCCCCAGTAGCTGGGATTACAGGCATGTGCTGCCATGCATGGCTAATTTTTGTATTTTTAGTAGAGATGGGGCTTCACTATGTTTGCCAGGCTGGTCTTGAACTCCTCATCTCAGGTGATCCGCCTGCCTTGGCCTCTCAAAGTGCTGAGATTAGAGGCGTGAACCTCCAGGCCCCAACCCATTAAGTAGTTTCTCATTATCCACCCTTTCATCTTTCCAAGTCTTCACTGTCCACCATTCCACTTTCTACATCTGTATATACATATTTCTTAGCTCCCACTGATAAGTGAGAACATAAAGTAATATTTGCTTTCCTAAGAGATGTCAATGCATACATCATAAGTCACACAATCTTAGATGAACATGTATTTCACATCTAACATCTTGGAATGCAAGAGGCATTTTACAATCTACAGCACCCTTTTATCAAAATTGGCAAGACTCTTAAGATTCTCTGCACTGGAACACAGACGGCTCCTTACAATCTAGGACATTTTGAAGTTCATGTAATATAGCATTCTTTACTACAACAGGTGCCATATAACAAGGAAGTTGCAGGCCACCTTTTCCTATGCTTAGTAATAATTTAAATCGCAGGACATTGTTTCCGGAAAACTAAAAGGATGTGTCAATAAAAACATCTGGCCCTGGAGCTGGGGGATGGGGACTGAAGGGAGGAGGAGATAATTATTTCTTGGGAATCTTCTCACCTATTCATATATCTATTTGTGAGTCAAGATTTCTATCCTTGAGTCAATTTTGAGAATTTGTATTTTTTGGAAAATCACACATTTCATTGTACTGTTAAAATTAATTTCTTCCTAAAATGCATTTGTGGTCTAGCCTGGAGATTATGAGCTTGGGCATAATAAGGGTGACAGACCTGGACGCCTGCAAGTCACCTAAGGTGTCTGAATCCCATTTTCCGCATTATAAGAGGAGACGTGATCACTTCTCTCACATGGGCTCCTTAACAAAAGGCTGGAAAAGAATTTGGCCGCCTACTTGACGGGCATTATATGCTAAACAATGCTGGCTTATAGTGAAGATTGTCTCGTGAAGTCAAGGCGTGGCTAGGGTCGGGAATGGGGCCATGCTCCGGGTGAGTGATCCTGAGTCCGAACCCAAACCATAAACGGGAAGACCCGAGCCCAAGGTCACACCCCAACCTGAGAAAAGATGGCAGGCCTAATCTGGAGGCCCTCTCCCCAGTGGCGTCCCCAGCTCACCGTGCAAGTGGGCTGAGAGGACTGCTCGGAGGCTACACGCAGGCCGTTGTCCAGCAGGCTAACCTGCGTCTCCGGCACGAACTGGAGCGCCTGAGCGAAGGTTGCCGTACTCCGCAAGGCTGGCGTCCGCAGCAGGGTCGGCTGTGGAAGGGAACAGCTGCGAGTGAGGACTCTGTTGGGGAATCGCTCACCACCTCCCAGGTGCTCAGGAGGATCCCAGTCCCCGTCCCCGCCCCCGCCCCTAGGCCAGCGGCGAGGTACCTTTCCCTGCCCTCCTCCATGACCTTCCCACGGCCCTGACCCCGCGTCCTCCCCACCTCGACCTGCCACTGCTAACAGCCCACACCCGTCCGCTTCCCGAAGCCCTGTCCCCTGAAGCCCCGCGCTCTCGCCACCACCTCACCGAGCGGCGGGCGCGCAATAGCACTTGTGCCCCGGAGGTAGCGGCCCGGCACACCACGGACGCCGCCATCTTCCAGCTCTAGTCGGCTCTAAGTTGCGCCGCGCAAGCGTAGAGTAGGCGCGTTGGCGGTCGTGGCGCAGGCGCAGTATCGTAAAGTTGGCGCTCGGCCGCCTCCTGGCGGGATCCGGGACCGTCAGTTGTGCTGGCCTGGCTTTGGCTGGCTGGCTGGCTGGCTGGCTCTATCAGTGCTGCCGCCCGTGCCTGCGCACACAGTCCGCCTGCCGTCCATCAGCCCGAGCAGGTTTGCCCGCCGTGCGGTCCATCTCCCCATTCCACGCGTGGAAGTCAGAGTGCACAATGTTTCTCACCAGCCGCGCTGCGTACTCCGAGTAGAGGTCTGGCGGGTGGGGCGTTGCAGCCGCAGTGTGTCCGCAGGTTCGAGCCCAGGGCTGAAGTACCAGAGTGGAAACTTACCTGGGACCACAAGGCGGTGCTGAAAGTCAGTTTTTTTTTCTCTTTATTTATTTATTTTTTATTTTCTGAGACGGTCTCGCTCTGTCGCCCAGGCTGGAGTGCAGTGGCTCAATCTTGGCTCACTGCAACCTCCGCTTCCTGGATTCAAGCAATTCTCCTGCCTCAGCCTCCCAAGTAGCTGGGATGCCACACGCCACCATGCCCCGGCTCAAGTGAGCCTTTTTTTTTTTTTTTTTTTTTTTTTTTTTGAGACGGAGTCTCGCTCTGTCACCCAGGCTGGAGTGCAGTGGCGCAATCTCGGCTCACTGCAAGCTCCGCCTCCTGGGTTCACGCCATTCTCCTGCCTCAGCCTCTGAGTAGCTGGGACTACAGGCGCGCACCACCACGCCCGGCTAATTTTTTGTATTTTTAGTAGAGATGGGGTTTCACCGTGTTAGCCAGGATTGTCTCGATCTCCTGACCTCGTGATCCGCCCGCCTCGGCCTCCCAAAGTGCTGGGATTACAGGCGTGAGCCACCGCGGCCGGCTCAAGTGATCCTTTTACCTCAGGCTCCTGAGTAGCTGGGACCACAGGTGCTCACTATCATACCCAGCTAACTTGTATATTTTTTGTAGAGACAGGATTTTACTTCCTTCCTTCCTTCTTTCCTTCCTCCCTTCCTCCCTTCCTCCCTCCCTTCTTCCCTTCCTCCCTTCCTCCCTTCCTTCTCTCTCTTTCTTTTTTTTTGGAGAGGCTCTCTGTTACTCAGGCTGGAACGCAGTGGTGTGATCATGGCTCACTGCAGCCTCAACCTCCCAGCTCAAGCCATCCTCCCACTCCAGCCTCCTGAGTAGCTGGAACTATAGGCATGCACCATCACACCCAGCTAATTAAAAAAAAAATTTTTTTAGAGACGGGGTCTCACTATATTTCCTAGTCTGGTCTTGAATTCCTGGGCTCAGGTGATCCTCCCACCTCAGCCTCCCATATGAAGTATTTCTAAACCCAGTCACCTAGCCTCCCTCCCTATACTCACTGCTATGCTGGGCTAAGAAGGTAAGGCCATTGAAGTAGGAGACAACCAGGAAGTGTGATGCTGGTTGGGAATGACGTGTTTCAAGGGGTTGGTCAAAACAGGAAATATTACTAAAATGTTAAGTGCAAGCAGTGATCATTGCAATAATTTTGCCACAGTGTTTGGTGACTCATTGATTTTCTGGAATTTACTTGGTATATGGAGTGAGGTAAGGTCAAAATATCCTCTTTCCCCCTAAACGGCAAACTAAATTTTGTAACACCATTTCTTGACCAGGCCCTGTTTTCCAATCCATCTCTAATGTTCCCTCTATCATCCCATAGATTCTCAAACCTGTACCAGGTCCCTGCAGGCTGTGTTCTGTTGGGAGGGCTCTGGTACTCACCTTACCCTTCTTACTCAATATTTATTTGATACATTCACCTATTTATTCCTCTAGATTTTTCTTTTTATTTTTTAAATTTACTTTTACTTTTTTAAAATAGAGACAGGATTTTGCCACGTTTCCCAGCTTGGTCTTGAACTCCTGGGCTCCAGTGATTCCCCTGCCTCAGTCTCACAGAGTCCTGAGATTACATGAGCCACTGCACACAGCTTTTTTTTTTTTTTTTGAGATGGAGTTTTGCTCTTGTTGCCCAGGTTGGAGTGCAGTGGCATGATCTCGGCTCACTGCAACCTCCACCTCCCGGTTCAAGCGATTCTCATGCCTCAGTCTCCCGAGTAACTGAGATTATAGGGGCCTGTCACCATGCCTGGATAATTTTTGTATTTTTAGTAGAAACAAGGTTTCACTATCTTGACCAGGCTGGTCTTGAACTCCTGAGAGATGGGGTTTCATTGTGTTAGCCGGATGGTCTCTATCTCCTGACCTTGTGATCTGCCCGCCTTGGCCTCCCAAGTCCTGGGATTACAGGCGTGTGCCACCATGGCCTGCCTCTTCTATTCATTAATGAAAGTGGGTGGTTGAAATATGTACTATAATTGTAGAGCTGACTACTTTCGATTCTGTTTTTGTTTCATTGTTTTTGGGGCTCTGTTAGGCACATGAATGTTTCTAATTGTCATATTGCCTTGTTTTGAAACTTTTATTAGTTGGGTGGATCACCTCAGGTCAGGAGTTCAAGACCAGCCTGACCAACATGGATAAACCCCATCTCTACTAAAAATACAAAATTAGCGGGGCATGGTGGTGCGTGCCTGTAATCCCAGCTACTCAGGAGGCTGAGGCAGGAGAACTGCTTGAACCCAGGAGGTGGAGGTTGCGGTGAGCCAAGATCATGCCATTGCACTCCAGCCTGGGCAACAAGAGCGAAACTCTGTCTTAAAAAAAAAAAAGAAAAGAAAAAGGCCGGGCGCAGTGGCTCATGCCTGTAATCCCAGCACTTTGGGAGGCCAAGGCAGGCAGATTACGAGGTCAGGAGATAGAGACCATCCTGGCTAACACAATGAAACCCCATCTCTACTAAAAATACAAAAAAAAATAGCTGGGTATGGTGGTGGACACCTGTAGTCCCAGCTACTTGGGAGGCTGAGGCTGGAGAATGGTGTGAACCCAGGAGGCAGAGGTTGCAGTGAGCCATGATCGTGCCACTGCACTCCTGCCTGGGCAACAGAGCGAGACTCCCTCTCAAAAAAAAAAAGAAATTTTTATCAATAGATAATGCCCTTCTTTGTCTCTTGTAACCTTTTTGATTTAGAGGCTACTATACCTGACAATAATAAAGCCACCCTGGCTCTCTTCTGGTTATTATTTGCATGAAATTTTTTTTTTTCTTTTTTTTTTTTTTTTCTTGAGACAGTTTCACTCTGTCGCCCCAGGCTAGAGTGCGGTGGTGTGATCATGACTCACTCCAGCTTTGACCTTCCTGAGATCAGGTGATCCTCCCACTTCAGCCTCCTGGGTAGCGGGGACTAAAGGTGCACACCACCATGCCCAGCTAATTTTTTGTGTTTTTTGTAGAAATAGCGTTTTGCCTTGTTGCCCAGGCTAGTCTCAAACTCCTTAAGCAATCCACCTGCCTCAGCCCCCAAAGTGTTGGGATTACAGGCATAAGCCATCATGCCTGGCCATAAAATATTTTTTCTATCCTTTTACTTCCAGTGTTTTTATGTTCTTATATCTGAAGTGAGTCTCTGATAGGCAACATATAGATTAACCTTTTTAAACCAATCTGAAAATCCATTTATTAATAGGAGAGTTTAATCTATTTACATTTAATGAGGTTACTGACAAATCATTTGCTTCTGCTGTTTAACTATTTGTTTTCTGTATGTCTTATATTTATTTTCTTGTTCCTCCATTCCTCTATTACTGCCTTTGTGTGTGTGTGTGTGTGTGTGTTTGATTTTTGAAGTATACCATTATAACATTTTGATTACTTTTTTTTTTTTTTTTTTTGAGACGGAGTCTTGCTCTGTCACCCAGGCTGGAGTGCAGTGGCTCCATCTTGGCTCACTGTAGTCTCCAACTCCCAGGCTCACTGCAACCTCTGCTTCCCAGGCTCAAATGATTCTCCTGCCTCAGCCTCCAGAGTAGCTGGGACTACAGGAGTGCATCACCACGCCCAGCTAATTTTTGTGTTTTTAGTAGAGATGGGGTTTTACCATGTTGGCCAGGCTGGTTTCAAACTCCTGGTGATCTGCCCACCTCTGCTTCCCAAAGTGCTTGGATTACAGATGTGAGCCATGGCGTCCAGCCTTAATTATCTTAGCTTCAAGTTCACTGATCCTTTATTCTGCCTGCTCCAATCTGCTGCTGAATTCCTCTAATGAAATTTTCATTTCAGTTACTATACTTTTCAGGTTCAGAATTTGTTTGGTCCCTTTAAATTTTTTCTCTTTGTTAATATTCTTTATGTTCAGACATAATTTTCCTAATTTCCTTTAGTTCTTGTCCATGGCTTCCCTTAGTTCATTGAACATACTAAGACAGTTGATTTATTGTTTTTGATTAATAATTCCCATGTCTGGGCTTCCTGAGGGATACTTCCTGTCACAATCTCTTTTTCAGCCAGGTGCAGTGGCTCATGCCTATAATCTCAGAACTTTGGGAGGCCAAGGTGGGAGAGTCACTTGAGTCCAGGAGTTTGAGACCAGTATGGGCAACATAGTGAGACCCTATCTCTCTTTTGACTCCAGCCTACTTCCCCTTACTTGGAGGACATCAGAGAGGCTGTGGCATTTTTGGGGTCCAGCCAAGGGGAAGGTGGGTTGAGGATGGTCCCAGGTTGGGTTCTCTAGGAATCCGACTCCAAGAGGAAGATCAGTGTACCAGATATTTATAAGAGTCCCTTGAGATGAGCACCTGAGGGAAGGAGGGAAAGGGTTGGGCAAGGAAGAAGTCTGGCTATAGGGGCTCTGCACAGCCAGAGTGGACCTGTCTGCTGGATGTCTCCCCAGTGGCTGGCAGCAGCTGGCCTTCATGTGGCACACCTCTGAATCTACCACAGGGAAACACCGGGTGTTATAAGTAAAATGTTTATTCAGAAACAGAATGCTGTTCTTCAGTACTGCAAGGAAAAATTAGCATTGAGACAAAAAGTTTTCTCAGCAAGGCAAATTTACTTTCTGCAGAAAGGGTGCTCCTTTCAGATGAAACAATGGTGAGAGCACACTTGAACAAAGGAGGGAAGCAATTTTTATTCTTTATGCAGCTTGTCCTTGCTACTGTGTCCTGTCTCCATTGGCTGGAGCTGGACTGCACAATCTAAGCTAAACTTGACTGGCTAATAATTTAAAACTTTCTTAAATAGGTAAAGGCAAGGGAGAACAAAGGAAAAGAGGAAGTTGCTTACAAAAAGACTTAGCCGGGCGTGGTGGCTCAAGCCTGTAATCCCAGCACTTTGGGAGGCCGAGATTGGCGGATCACGAGATCAGGAGATCGAGACCATCCTGGCTAACATGGTGAAACCCCGTCTCTACTAAGAAATACAAAAAACTAGCCGGGCAAGGTGGTGGGCGCCTGTAGTCCCAGCTACTCGGGAGGCTGAGGCTGGAGAATGGTGTGAACCCGGGAGGCGGAACTTGCAGTGAGCTGAGATCCGGCCACTGCACTCCAGCCTGGGTGACAGAGCGAGACTCCGTCTCAAAAAAAACCAAAAAAACCAAAAAAACAAAAAAAAAAACAGAAAAGTAATAAAATTTCTTTTTTTTTTTTTTTTTTTTTGAGAGGGCATCTCACTCTGTTGCCCAGGCTGGAGTGCAGTGGCGCAATCTCAACTCACTGCAAGCTCCGCCATGGGTTCTCGCCATTGAACTAGCTGGGACTACAGGCGCCCGCCACCATGCCCAGCTAATCTTTTTTGCATTTTTGGTAGAGGTGGGGTTTCACTGTGTTAACCAGGATGGTCTCGATCTCCTGACCTCATGATCTGCCCGCCTCAGCTTTCCAAAGTGCTGGGATTACAGGTGTGAGCCACTGCACCCGGCCAAAAGTAATAACATTTCGAAATAAGGCAGGCACATAGGCTGCAAGTTGGAATGTGCCTGTGAGTATGTCCAGCACAAATATCTTGGTTAAAGTACAAGGACATAGAATGTACTTATTTCTTTATATCTAACAGCTACATAGGATAGGGCTTAACAAAGTGAGGAGGCTTAAAGGAAGTTAGTCTTTAAACTAAACTATTATTTTAACACATAATTTATTCTTTAACAAGGGAATCTTTGAAGAGGAACTTTTTTTTTCACTTTCTACACCAGGTTTAGAGGGACATATTTATGTGGTTTGCTCCACCCTTGTGTAAAGTTAGTTTATTGGTCTTGTTCTAGAATAAACTAGGAATGTGGCTTGTAGGAAAATCCTGCTGGGTAAGGACAGAAGTGCAAAGTCCTATTGCCTTAAGGACATGCCCCACGGCACCCAGTGCTGGGAAAACTGTGAGCCATGGAAGGAAAACAAGGTTTGAAATGCGTGGAGCCAGAACCTCATCTGTGGTAAATCCTTCCAAATTTCACAGTTCCTATATGACAGATGGCTGATGACAGTTTCTCAAATTTTACAACAGTCCAGAACATTTATATGTCATCATCAACAACAGGTTAGGAAGTTTAACTTTCCTAAACTACCAATAATTAAAACACAAATTTCAACCATGTTAGGAGGAAGACTGAACTATCTTTTCTCTGTATGGAAAATATCCCCCCAAAATCACAAAATCCTTGTCCTATGTGGAGGCCTTCAGAGTAAGAAGACAAACCATGTAGGGGACCAAAGTATTATAGAAATATGTCAGGAAGTTGTCACAAATTATGTTTTTTTGCTGGATTTAGTATTGTAGTATTTGTCCATGTTAAAAAAAGTTTTCAAAAAAAAAGAAAAGTTTCCAAAAAAAAAAAAAGTTTCATCATTTCTTTTTTTTTTTTTTTTTTTTTTGAGACGGAGTCTTGCTCTGCCGCCCAGGCTGGAGTGCCAATGGCGGATCTCAGCTCACTGCAAGCTCGACCTCCCGGGTTCACGCCATTCTCCTGCCTCAGCCTCCAAGTAGCTGGACTACAGCACGCCACCGACGCAGCCGGCTAGTTTTTTGTATTTTTTAGTGAGGAGACGGGTTTCAGCGTGTTAGCCAGGATGTCTCGATCTCTGTGACTCAGTGATCCGCCGGCTCGCCTCCCAAAGTGCTGGGATTACAGGCTTGAGCCACCGCGCCCGGCCAAGTTTCATCATTTCTTTTCTCATTATTTTAATTCACTTCCATTTTTGAATTCATAACGTTGTTCTCTTTTTCTAAAACAGGAACCTGGAACAGGCACTGTGGCTCATGCCTGTAATCCCAGCACTTTGAGAGGCTGAGGCAGGAGGATCAGCTGAAGCCAGGAGTCAAGACCAGCCTGGGCAAGATAGTGAGACCCCATCTCTACAAATATATATGTTTTTAATTAGCTGGGTATGGTAATGTATGCCTGTAGTCTCAGCTACTTGGGAGGCCAAGGCAGGATTGCTTGAGTTGGTCAAAAAAACAAAAAGAGGCCGTGCACGGTGGCTCACACCTGTAATCCCAGCACTTTGGGAGGCTGAGGCGGGCAGATCACGAGGTCAGAAGATCGAGACCATCCTGGCTAACACAGTGAAACCCCGTCTCCACTAAAAATACAAAAAAATTAGCTGGGCCTGGTGGCGGGCACCTGTAGCCCCAGCTACTCGGGAGGCTGAGGCAGGAGAATAGCGTGAACCTGGGAGACGGAGCTTGCAGTGAGCTGAGATCGTGCCACTGCACTCCAGCCTGGGCGACAGAGTGAGACTCCGTCTCAAAACAAAACAAAACACAAAAAGAAACAATTTTTAAAAAGGGAAAAAAGAAAGAGAAAGGGAGTAAAGTGAGGGTCCCTTCATGGAGCTTCTCCAGGGGCCTTGGAGCAAGGGCCACTGAGGTACTAGAGCACATTTGAGACTGCCATAGAAACAAAGGCAGCTAGGGCGGCCTGCCTGACCCCAGGTTGGGGTTGCTGGAGCCAAGGATCTGGGGAGGGGCTGTTATTGGAGACAGAGCAGTGGCCCCTCAAGGGAGGGCCTTGCAGGGCCTGGGAAGAAGAAACCAGAGCCAGCTGCTGATTGATGGCAGGACTAAAGTCACCTCCATGAGGTGGTGACAAGGATGGGTGAAGCCAAAGGGTGTGTGACTCTACAGTGACGGGGGGCTTAGGGCTCTCAGTCCCCCATCAGAGATCCTCAGTGTCTGGTTCCAACTTCACCACTGCTCTTCTCAGCTGACCAGGTCCCTCCTCGGCTCCCCCTGTGCACTGGAGAGGCCCAGGACCCTCACTCGGCACTTGAGGCCCTTTGTCATGGGCACTGCCCACCTTGTCCATGTGCAGAGAGTACCAAAGACGGCACGTGGCCTTTGCTTAGAACCAGACCTCCACCTGAAGTTTCCTTCTTTATAGCCATTTCCCCTCAGGGCTCAGCCAGGTTGTCGGCTCCTCTGGGCAGCCCTTCCTGAGCCACCCAAGTCTGTCCCAATGGTAAGTCCTCTCCCATCACACTGGGAGTCCCCAGGTACTGGTCAGGCCAGAGGAGCAGTTTTTGTTTGAGACAAGTTCTCGCTCTGTCACCCAGGCTGGAATGCAGTGGCACAATCTTGGCTCACTGCAACCACTGCCTGCCAGGCTCAAGTCATCCTCCCACCTCAGCTTCCTGAGTAGTTGGTACTACAGGCATACATCACCATGCCCAGCTAACTTTTTTGTTTGTATTTTTTGTAGGGATGCGGTCTTGCCATATTGCCCAGGCTGGTCTCAAACTCTTGAGCTCAAGTGATCCTCCCATCTTGGCCTCTCAAAGCGCTGGGATTACAGGTGTGAGCCACCACACCCAGCCCAGAGGAGCAGTTGTGTCTCCAGGAGGGATCCTTAGGGAGGAAAAGTCAGTTGGTGGGGGCAATGGAGCAGTGTGAGCCAGCCTGTGCCCCAACTGTCCGCCCGTCGTGGACACCAAGTCAGCTGGCTTTAAAAGTAGAAAAGGGACACAGGGTCCAGACAGGCCTGGAGAGAGCAGACCTGGCCCAGGACCCCCGGCTGTCAGGCAGAGAGAGGCACATGTTTGGTCACCCACTCTGGGCGGAAGTCCCCTTTATTTGGATTTGCCGCTGGGTGGCTAGATGATGTAGGTGGCCTTCGATGTGGACCAGGAGGGCATCCAGCATGTGCAGGACCCCACGGAGCAGGGTGTGGTCTGAGATTGGGGCCCGCCGTTTCCAGGGTCCGCAGGGCTCAGTGGTCACCTGCGGATGCTGAGAACAGGACCAAGAGGCAGGAGTGAGAATGGAGGGCAGAGAGGGAGGTGCGATGAGGGGCAGTGATGAAGCTGGGGAGCAGGGAGTAGGGTGTGGGGCAGTGCCCAGATGGGATGGGAGACTCAGGGTGACAGAATCACCAAGGGTCTGTTTGGGCTACAGTGGTCACGGGGCCCTCAGGGGCTGGATGAGAGCAAGGGTTCTAAAGGGGAGAGCTGGGGGCAGGGTGCTGGCTGTGGGTGGTGGACATGGGTTCCACGAAGGTGTGTGGACACAGGGACAATGGGCTGTGAGCTGGGGGTGGGAGTGTGGGAGGCCCACAGGCCAGTGTGGACCCATGGGGCAGGGTTGGGTGGAAGACGGCTCACTGGGCGTACATGGAGGCAGGGGCTGTGGGGGAGAAAGAGCTGCGCTCACCTCACCCTTGGTGGCCTGTGAGCACCGCCGCCCCTGCAGTATCTTGCGGCAGATCATCAGCATGGTGGTGGTGATCATGACCCCAGCCACAGGGTAGATGCGGCTTGCTCCAGGGCCCAGCCAGTAACCAGGACAGCTCAGGCCACCCCTACAGCCCTCCACACTCTTTGGCTGACACCCCCAGGGCTGCAAGTCCAGCCCCACCTGGTACCAGAGGGGTCGCGACCAGGCATGGGTTGGAGCAGGCATCGCCAGCAGGAGCAGCAAGGGCAGCGAGGCCAGCACGTGCAGCATGGCCGCCGCTAGTGCCAGGGGCCGGAACCTGGTCGCCTGGTGACCGGCAAACGCCCCTCCCCCAAGAACAGGCCTGGCTCTGAGGCAGCAGGTTCCAGCGAGACCCATGGCCTTTCATGAGCAGCCTGGCCAGAAACTGGCTGTGGTAAGGGGGCTGGAGTCCAGGGCTTGAGGAGAATGGCAGACCTGGGTTCTGGGTCCTATTCTCCCAGTGGGCCTGGCTGGCCCCAAACTGAGGGAGCACCTCCTTTTGAAGCTGGGCCCTAGGCTGGGTATAGTGGCACACACCTGGAATCCCAGCACTTTGGGAGGTTGAGGCAGGTGGATGGCTTGAGCCCAGAAGTTTGAGACCAGCCTGGGCATCATGGCGAAACCCCCTCTCCATAAAAAATACAAATAATTAGCTGAGTATAGTGGCACATGCCTGTTGTCCCAGCTACCCAGGAGGCTGAAGTGGGAGGATCACCTGAGCCTGGGAGGTCGAGGCTGCAATGAGCTGTGGTTGCACCACTACACTCCAGCCTGGGCGACAGAGTGAGATTTTGTCTCAAAAAAGATAAAAAAAGAAACTAAGCCCCGAACAGTTAAAGAAACCAGTAACTAACAGAATTTTTTTTTTTTTTAAGAGACAGCGCACTGCAGTCTTGACCTCCTGGGCTCAGGTGATCCTTCTGCCTCAGCCTCCTGAGTAGCTGAAACTACAGGTGTGCACCACCATGCCTGGCTAATTTATTTATTTACTTATTTTTAACATTTATTTTGTAGAGATAGGGGTCTTACTATGTTGCCCAGGCTGGTTTCAAACCCTTAGCCTCAAGTGATCCTGCCACTTCAGCCTCCCAAAGTGCTGGGATTACAGCTGTGAGCCACCATGGCTGGCCCCTAGAAATCCTTGAGTTTACAGGATGGTAGATAAGGAAAGAAACAACTTGCTGAAACGCTGAAATTCCCTCTGCTTGTAAGATAACAAAACTGAAATCAGATGGACCCAATATTCCCGACTGGAGTGTGCACAGAAAGAGCTTGCTGACATCACAGCCTGAATTTCCACCATGTTTCATATAACTCCTCCAGAATTTGCACAGGAGACCCATGAGGAGGCATGAAGAGTTAATTGCACATGCCTGAGAACTTTCCAGACCTCCTGCTTCCTTCTACCAATCACCCACCTACTAATCCCAGTATCCATCCCCTAAACCTTTTCTAATAAAATTACTGCCTTAAAGCCAGCACAGGGAGACACATTGAAGCTGGACTCCTGCTTCCTTGCTAGTTGACTTGCAATAAAAAGCTTTTCTTGGCTGGGCATGGTGGCTCACGCCTGTAATTCCAGCACTTTGGGAGGCTGAAGTGGGTGGATCAGTTGAGGTCAGGAGTTTGAGACCAGCCTGGACAACATGGTGAAACCCTGTCTCTACTAAAAATACAAAAATTAGCCGGGTGTGGTGGCAGGCACATGTAATCCCAGCTACTTAGGAAGCTGAGGCACAAGAATTTTTTAACCCGGGAGGCAGAGGTTGCAGTGAGCCAAGATCACGCCACTGCTGTAATCCTAGCCACTGGGAAGGCTGAGGTAGGAAAATCACTTGAACCCGAATCTGGTGTCCGGCCCACAACTGTAATCTCAGTACTTTGGGAAGCTGAGGTGGAAGGATCTTTTCAGCCCAGGAGTGAGACCATGGTGGGCAACATAGTGAGACTCCGTCACTATATTTTTTAAAAAAGAAATTAGTCCAACATGGTGGTATGCACCTGTAGTCCCAGCTACTTGGGAGGCCGAGGCGGGAGGATTGCTTCAGCCCAAAACCCAGTGTCACAGTACTGGTTTCTAGCATTTCAAGCAGTGAGTCGTTTTGCTCAGTAACACTTTCACCCTGGCCTTCTCCTCACCTATCAGCCAATTCCTAAAATCCAAACACCTGCAGTGGCTCACGCCTGTAATCACACTTTGGGAGGCTGAGGCTGAGGATCTCTTGAGCCCAGGAATTTGAGCCCAGTCTAGGAAACATAGTAACAACCCATCTACGGATTTTTTTTTTTTTGGGGGACAGACTCTTGCCCTCTCACCCAGGCTGGAGTGCAGTGGCGCAATCTCAGCTCACCGAAACCTCTGCCTCCCTGGTTCAAACGATTCTCCTGCCTCAGCCTCCCGAGTAGCTAGGATTACAGGCGTGCATCACCACACCTGGCTAATTTTTTGTATTTTTAGTAAAGATGGGGTTTCACCGTGTTAGCTAGGATGGTCTCAATCTCCTGACCTCGTGATCCACCCCCCTTGGCCTTCTAAAGCGCTGGGATTACAGGCTTGAGCTACTGCAACCAACCCCAATTTTTGTATTTTTAGTAGAGACAGGGTTTCACTATGTTGGCCAGGCTGGTCTCGAACTCCTGACCTCAGGTGATCCACCCACTTTGGCCTTCCAAAGTGCTGGGATTACAGGTGTGAGCCACCACACTCGACCTTACAAACTGTTTTTTAAAAACTAGGCCGCGCGCCATGGCTCAGGCCTGTAATCCCAGCACTTTGGGAGACCAAGGCAGCCGGATCACCTGAGGTCAAGAGCTTGAGACCAGACTGACCAACATGGAGAAACCCTATCTCTACTAAAATAGCCAGGTGTGGTGGTACATGCCTGTAATCCCAGTTACTCAGGAGGTTGAGGCAGGGAAATCACTTGAACCTGGAAGGTGGAGGTTGCGGTGAGCCGAGATCGCGCCATTGCACTCCAGCCTGGGCAACAATAGCAAAACTCCATCTCAAAAATAAATAAGTAAATAAAAGCCCGGGTGCAGTGGCTCAAGCCTGTAATCCCAGCACTTCAGGAGGCCGAGGCGGGCAGATCACGATGTCAGGAGATTGAGACCATCTGGCTAAATGGTGAAACCCCGTCTCTACTAAAAATACAAAAAAAAAAAAAATTAGCTGGGCATGCTGGCACACCCCTATAGTCCCAGCTACTCAGGAGGCTGAGGTAGGAGAATTGCTTAAACCCAGGAGGCGGAGGTTGCAGTGAGCCGAGATTATGCCACTGCACTCTGGCCTGGGCGACAGAGCGAGACTCCGTCTCAAAAAACAAGCCAACAAACAAAAACTAGCTGGGGCTGGGTGCGGTGGCTCACGCCTGTAATCCCAACACTTTGGGAGGCCGAGGCAAGAGGATCACTTGAGGTCGAGTTCAAGACCAGCCTGGCCAACATGGTGAAACTTCGTCTCTACAAAAATGAGCTGGGCATGATGGTGGATGCCTGTAATCCCAGCTACTCAGGAGGCTGAGATAGGAGAATCACTTGAACCCGGGAGGCAAGAACGTACCATTGCACTCTGGCCTGGGCAACACAGTGAGACTCCATGTTTCACCATGTGAGACTCCATCTTTTTTTGGGGGAGGGGGAAAACTAGCTGGGTGTGGTGGCGTGTGCCTGTAGTCCCAGCTACTTAGGAGGCTGAGGCAGGAAGATCGCTTGAACCCAGGAGGTCAATGCTGTAGACAGTGGTGATCACAGCACTGTACTCCAGTCCGGGGGACAGAGCAAGAGCCGATTAAAAAAAAAAAAAAAAATCGACATGGCCCCTAAAACCTTTTGCTTTCCACCAGGGGCATCACCTCTCTAGGCTGACCAAACTTGCAGGTCCCCCACACCCAGCCTCAGCCCCACAGTCCACATCGCAGTTGGGTGAGTGCTCGAAGATGTGGGATCCAAATCCACAGGCGGCTCCCCCACTGTCAGAACAAAGCCCGAAGGCTCCCCCTGGACTGTGAGGTCCCCTCACCCTCTCACCTCAGCTCATGCTGCCCCTGCCTCTCTCAATACCCTCACTGTTCCCAGTGTCAGGACCACAGCTCCCCACGTCTAAAAAGTCACCTTCTTATGGCTGAAGTTTCAGTTCCAGGGTCACCTGCTGAGTCCCCCTCCCATAAGCATCTTGGGTAACATATGACCTCTATCACATGACCCTGCTTTTCTTCAAAGCATTTCTAAATACCTGAAATTTCCTGTTTGAGATCTACTGCCCTCTCCAACATATAAGCTTCATTCAAACAATATTTACAGAGCAGCTGCCAGGCACCATTTCTGATGCTAGGATGTGGTGTGACAGAATAAATAAAAGCTCTATTTCCTGGGGCTGAGCTTCTAGGCCATGAATGGGGGTGGTGGGGATGATGGTGCCAGGCAGCAACACAGGCCATGATAAAACAGAGCCAGGCAAGGGTGTCTCTGTGATTTGAAGGGCAGGGTGGCCTCTGTCCATGCTCAGGATGGTGCCCAGACCCCAGCACAGGGCCTGGCACCTGCTCAGACCTGATGAACAGCAGCGCTCACATGTTTGGAGCAGAGGACCTGAGCCCAGCATTGTTCTAAGCATTTCCCAGCATTTCCTCATTTATTTATTTATTTTTGAGATAGGGTCTTGCTCTGTCACACAAGCTGGAGTGCAGCTCCCTCCAGCACGATTTCAGCTCACTGCAACCTCCACCTCTTGGGTTCAATCGATCCTCCCACCTCAGCCTTCCCAGTAGCTGGGATTACAGGCACCTGGTACCATGCCCAGCTCATTTTTGTATTTTTAGTAAAGATGGGGTTTCACCTGCCTCGGGCCTCCCAAGGTGCTGGGATTATAGGCTCGGCATCTACTCATTTAATATTCACTGAGCAACCCATGAAACAAGAACTGTGACCACTCACGCTCTACAAATGAACAGTACACTGAGGACCAGACAGATCCTAGGACCTGGTCCCTCCCCTGCCATCACTGTGTCAGCTGGCCCAACGCCCTACTGCCTGCTGGGTCACATGCCCAGATGTCGGCATTTAATGGCAGAAATCAACACACACTCCTTGGCTGACAGTGTTCTACCATGCCCAGGTGATCTATCTGTCACCCATGCAGTGGCATGATCTCTGCTCGCTGCAACCTCTGCCTCCCAAGTTCAAGTGATTCTCGTGCCTCAGCTTCCCGAGTAGCTGGGATTACAGGTATGCACCACCATGCCCGACTAACTTTTGTATTTTTAGTAGAGGCAGGGTTTCACCATGTTGGCCAGGATGTTCTCGAACTCCTGACGTCAAGTGATCCACCCGCCTCTGCCTCCCAAAGCGCTGGGATTACAGGTGTGAACCACCGTGCCCAGCCCGGTCATGCTTATTCTTAAGCATAGAGTAGCAGTGTGGGGAAACAGCTGCTCTTAGGTGTTCACTCTGTATCCTCCAGGGACTGCCCGTTGGCATCCACACTGTCCTGTGCCTTATCGGGTATTCCCGAGAGTGAATTATTCCTGAGAAGCAGCTCTGGTTCCAACTGTTTCACAGCTGAGGAGACAGGGAGTGAGGGCTATGCATGGCTGGGGAGATACCTAAACAGGGGATGCCTCCACAACTCCCCCACTCTGTACCCTGACCTCCCGCGTCTTTCCTACACTTTCTGCCCCGTCTCACCTTCAGGGCACAGGAAGGGTCAGCAGCCACAGCTGTGGACCACCCACCACCGGGGCCCCACCAAGCCACAGCAGAGCCTGGAGTTGAGCAGACAAATCTTTATTCCTGATGCTAAATATGCACCAGTTCCCTCCCCGTAACCAGCCACTGCCAGCCTGACTGCAGGCCCTGTCCCAGACCTGGAGCACTGAACTTGGAGTCCCAGGACCTCCTTCCCTGAGTTGTGTGTGTGTACATGGAGGGGACTCCCAGGTAGCACCTGGAGGCGGCCTAGGGTTGAGGGGCTTCTCAAGGGTGCCCTGTCACAACCTCCAGAGGTGCAGTCTCGGGCAGGATGCAGCATGTTCAGAGTCTGGTGACCTGAGTGGGCAGAGGAGGGGAGGCTCCAGTTTCCAAAGGACACAGACCAACCCCCACCCCTAGGAACAGCTTTATCCAAAGACAGCGGGGAAAGCACTGGGCCCACTGGGGACAGAACCATGGCCACCAGGAAAGACTCCCTGGAGCTGGACCCAGGGTGGGGAGAAGCAATAGATTAACAAAAAAGAGCTCAGCAGGCCAGAGGTAGGCTCACCGAAACAGGGCTGTCGGGGACAGGCCTCGGGTGTTGGAGGGCAAAGGTGACAGCATCATGGACAGAAGCAAAGAGATGCTTCTTGGTGATGGATGCATCGAAGAAGTGCCCGGCCTCAAGCTGGCTGACCACAGGGCCTGTGGGCAAGAAGTAGGCCTCCCTGACTCTCAGAACCTCCAGGAACTCAACTCCCAGGAGAAAACAGAATGCCCTGACCTCACCACCTGAGGCTCCAGCTGAATCCACATCACTTGTAACCCTGGACTCCTGTCTCCCACGACACCTCTGACCTCCAGTTCCAGAGAAAGACTTTTTTCCTTGTGCTACTTGGAAAACCCTTTGGCCAAAAGCATCCTACCCTCTTCCCAGGTCCCTCCTGCTGTTCCCACCCTACTCACTGTGGCAGGCCGCCATGTACACCTCTACCTCGATCTCCCGGAAGTCGTGGAAAATCTGTAGCGGAAAAGGGGGCCAGCCTCAGAGGAAGGCTCAGGGACGTAGAGGGGGGCTCGGGCAGGCTTGGGGAGGGAGTTTAGATGGGGAGCTTTGAGGGTTTGGGGAGTCAGAGTCTCGGAGTGCTCTCAGGGCAAATTACAGGGTCAGTGGGGAAGCTCGAGGGGCCTTGGCCTGCCCCCATCCTTACATTCTTCAGGCTCTTGAGGCACACAGTGTCCACGAAGGAGAGGGCACCCAGGTCCAGGATGAGGCTGTGGAAGTCTGGCTGAGGCAGGCCCAGGGCCTTCAGTGTGGACCCATCTGGGGCCTTGGAGTCTTCTTGACCATTGGCTGTTGCATCTTCCATCTTATCTCCTGGGCTCACCTGCTGGGGAGTCAGACATGCTGCCAGGGCCACCCGAGAGGGTGAAGGCAGGACCGGCCACACACAGACATGCGGGAACACGCAAGGTCAGATGGGGAGCATGCATGGGACACAAGGACACAAACATGGGGGAGTCACATAGGTATGCAAAGACAGGAAGGACAGATGTATGGGGACACTCAGGAGGGCACACCTAGACATGCTCTGCTACCTCCTGGGCCGAGGCTGCACAGGGACATGAGAAAGCACGGTGCTGGGAGACCCTGTCCCATTCTCATCAGCCAGGGCTGAGTGGGGAGGGGCCCAGGAGCAGGCCAGAATAGACACAGGCATCCACATGAAACACACGCAGACACCTCAGCACCCTACCCTGTCTGAGTCTCTAATTAAGTTTGGCATCCTCTTTGACCCCTATATATTTTTTCAGAGATGGGGTCTCGCTTCATTGTCCAGAATGAACATAGTGGTTATTCACAGGCACCATTAGAGCGCACTGCAGCCCCGAGCTTCTGGGCTCAAATGATTTTCCCGCCTTAGCATCCCAAAGAGCTGGGACTGCAGGTGCGCACCACCACGCCTGCCTTTGACCCCTTGATTTTCTCCCATACACCCAATCCTTTTCCTCTACCCATAAGCAGACTCAGGGGGGAGTCTTGTGGCATCTACAAATTCAAGGTCTTCATCTAGGCCCGAGAATCTGAGCCTAGATTCTGTGGCATATCATGAATTTCCCTGCAGAATATCTGATCCAGCCCCAACAACTCCTGCCATTGGCCCACAGCTGCTGGGTCCATGGCACTCCTCATGAGACGTGTGGATCCTGCGTCTCTGCAGCTCACAGCTGTCCCCTCCTCTCCCACCTCCAGCCTCACCATCGCCTTGTAGTCCTCAGCGTTGTTGCTCCTCATGTCTTCAAGGCTGGTGTTGACGTTAATGGAAACTGAAGCGCCCTTGGAGGAGGCAGCCTACACCAGGGAAGACAGGGAATGGGAAACAGCTATCCTGGCTGCCATGACAGCCATGTCATGTAGGCCTGGTGATGCCCCCTGGTGTTGGGCAGGTAGGTGGGCCAGGACCAGAAGCTGTGGGACCTGCAGCAACCAGGCTGAAGCTCCTGGAACAGCCATGAAAGAGAAGAGGACTGTGACGGTTCACACTGTCACTGGTTCAGATGATGGGAGAGAAACAAAATGTGACCTAAAGCCTGGACCTGCTAGGGTAGTGAGGCAGGGCCCCAGGAGCATGAGAGAGAAAGGGGAAGGGATGAGGAGTGAGGATGAGGGAGGAGTCGGGAGGCCAGGAGAAAGGCTGGGGCAGGGAGCAGGGGGCAGCAGACGGGGGTCACCAGACAAAAGGGGCCCTGCCTGTTTCTGAAGCTTCTTCTCTTTCTGCAGTTGCTTCAGCTTCAGCTGCTCCCGCTTCTTGAGCAGTTTCTTCTTCTGGGAGATGAGGAAGTCGACATCCACACCGCACTGGAGGCAAACATCAGAGAAGGGTTGGTGAGCTCTCGGGGAGCTGGGGCCTGACACCCATCCTGGGGACCCCACCTCACCCTCTGCTTCAGCGCATCACTGTAGAAGTCAGCGTTGGCAAAGTACACGGTGGCCGAGGAGCGGAAGACCTTCACTCCCGGGACTTCCTTGGCCTGGGGATGAGGCAGAACTGGTGGTGGCTGAATCTCCTCTCTCCGGGCTGCATCCTGTTCTCCTGCCTTTCCTTTCCTAGTGTGCCCAGTGCCTGCCACCGCCCAGCCCTCTGCTCCCCAGGCTGCAGTCCAGGCCCTCCCAGGGGCTTGGGCCACAAGCCCGGTGGTGTCATCCCCATTCCTGCACCATGCCTTTCCCTCCCCACCTCTCCTGCCACCACCCAGGCAGCCTTCACAGGCTCTTAACCTTTCTCCTGGGTTTCCAACCCCTGCCTTGTGATCTGTTTTCTGCACCCAGAGGTCCTCCTAGGCTGTCACACCAACCAGACCTTCCCCACCTCCCACCCCATTCAGGTCACAGCCCAGGTCTCTGCTGGGCTCCAGGCCTGCATGGTAAGGGCTGGGCTGCCCCCCTCATCCTCTCCCATGTCTCAGACCCCTTAGTTCCTCCCCACACTGCCTAATCGCACTGCGCCCATGTTGCAAGGAGCAGCCTTGTTTTATTCCAGAGCCCCCCACCTATGTTCCTAGCACTTGGCCCAAGACCTCTCAGGAGATAAATGGATGACTGAAGACTTAATAACCCCTCTGATCAGATCAGGAAATGCCTCCCTTCCATCCTGGTGCCCCAGGGAGCTGCCACTCCGGCTCTCTAACCCAGGGCTGCTCTGCAGGTGGAGCTTGTGCTGTTGACTCCATGACAGACCCCTCCCCAGCCCCAGACCCATTTCTGTCCACTCTCCCTCTGTGCCTTCATACCTCTAGAGGGGGTCGTAGACCCCAACTCCTCCCTTGAAATCCCAAAGACCAAACCAAAGTGTCCTCAGCCCCCAGTGCCCTGGCCAAGTGTGGAACGAATCCACAAAGTCTCATTCTTCCTCCATCTCCCCATCCACATCATTCCGCTCAGCCCCTGCCACTCACCTCTGAGTACTCTGCCACATCTCTGTAAATATCCGTGTCTGGCACCTGCCCCAGGATAGAGTAGTGGGGCCTGTGGAGGAGAGAGAGAATGCAAGAAGAGGGGGCAGAAAAAGGGGATAACAGAGGGGTCCAAAGGAGCCTAAAGTCCCCCAGAGATGTGGGGAAAGCTGCGGGGAGCCCTGTGGCACTCCCTCACTAGCTGCAATGAGGGGACCAACATGGGGGACTCACATCTGTGTCCGGACCACCACAAGCAGTAGGGAGAAGACGACCGAAACCATCAGGCCAAGGTCCAGGTTCAGCAGGATGGTGGCTGCGAAGGTCACCAGCCAGATGAGCTGAGAACAGAGGGCAGCGGTCGGCGGGTGGCGAGGAGCCATGGGGCTGCCCAGTCCCTGCCCCGGGGTCCCAGAGCACTCACCAGATCTGCCCGATTGGCTTTCCAGAGGGAGCACACGTCGCTGAGCTGCCGCAGCATGCCCTTCAAGTTCACAATGATGATGGCCGCCAGGACCGCCTGGGGTGGGAACAGTGCCGCCAGGGGCCATTGAGGGCACCCGATGCTGTCAACCCTCCCCATCGAGGCATGGCCAGATTAAGCCCAAGCACTCAGGCAGAACCCGACACAAACCCCCACCCAGCCCCTGACCCTTGTCTCCAAATCTCACCTTGAAGATCTCAGCCTTGAAAAACAGGACCTAACCTTGTGTCCCCACCCCTCACCTGAACCTAGACTGGTTGATCTGAGTCCTGACCTGGCCAAGACCTGAAGCCTGGCTGGGTGGGGGCTTACCTTGGGCAGCTCACGGAAGAGTTCCCCAAGTTTGACAATGATGAGGAGGATGAAAAGGGAAGAGATGGCTCCAGCAACCTGTTGGGGGAGGGGATGAGGAGGGGCGAGACCCCCTTCCCCAGGCAAGGCATGTCCACACCCATGCCCACACCCAAAACCCACCTGCGAGTTGCCCCCGGTGCTCTCCTGTACCAGGCTCCGAGACATAGAGCAACTCACAGGGAAGCACTGGAAGATGCCTCCAATGAGGTTACTGAGGCCCAGGGCCACCAGCTCCTGACGGGGGGCAGTGTGGGTGTGAGGAGACTTCCTAGAAGTGGCTTGTCACTGTCCCACTGTGTCTAGGCCTGTGTATCCCCAATCTCCATCCCCACCAAGCGGCCCCCAGAGACTGGATGCTGTCCTACACGTCCTACTCTCCCATCCTCAGTCCCCCACGTGGCCTCAGCACATCTGCTGTCTCCCCATGTCCCACCTGTTCCTCCCCCACCCGTTGCTGGCGCTTCCATACACTTGGATGCCTCCTACACATCCTGCATCACCCAGACCTGGTTGCTGTCCACCCGGTAGCCATGCCTCAGGGCGAAGATCTTCCCCAGCGAGATGGCAATGGCGAACCCAACCACAGCGATGGTGAAGGCGCTGCCCACGAGCTTTGAGAACAGCTGGGTGTTGGGGGCCACTGGGGGCAACAGCCTGTGAGAGGCATCTGTGAGGCCAAAGCAAGGTCCTGGCCTGGCTGCCCAACCCTCCCTGACCTGACGGACTCCAGAGCTCACCCTGCAGAGATGTTGCCCACGACATCTACCCCAAATATGTGCTTCAGACCCATGCCATAGGAGATGCCTGTGGCCCCGATGAGCTGTGGGAGAGGACAGAGTCAAGGAGGCAGGTGCTGGCGGCATGGTCGGGGGACATGTAAACCACTGTGGGGTGAGGAGGGAGACACTGGGCAAAACCTTCTTCAGAGGTGGGAAAAAGTCACATAGGGTGAGAGACGGGCAACACCATTTCGACTATGGGGAGAGGCTGTCAGGGGCAGGAAGAAACCAACACAGGGGCTTTCTGCTGTGCCCCCCACAATACCCAAGAACCCCCCCAGTCCCCCTCCAGCTGGCCTTCAAATACAGGAGGCTGCCCACGTGGCAGGGACCCAGCCTGTCCTGCCCTTCTCCCCTACCCCCCACTTTCTGGCCCTCGAACCATGAGCAGCTCCCCGGGTATCGGCATGGGCAGCTGCCGCTGCAGCTTGTCATTCAACAGCTTCACCACCAGGAGCACAACCCCAGCCACAGCTGCAGTGACCACCGTGCTGACCTTGCTCTGGGGCAGCTTCCGGCAGACCTCCAGCACTGTCTGAGGAGAGGCCAGGTCACAGCCAGCGCTCAAGGCCATGGGGCACACCTACCCCTCCCTCCCCCTGCCCTCACTCACATAGATGAGGGACAGTGGCCCAGAGTGGCTGCTCAGATGGAGGCCAAACACATACTTGAGCTGTGAGACGAAGACCTGCACAGCTGCAGCTGTGGTATAGCCTCGGACAAGAGGCTCTGACAGGTAGGTGACCAGGAAGCCGAAGTGGATCAGGCCCAGCCCCACCTGTGGGGTGGCCAGGGGCAGTCAGGACAGGCAGGGGTCCTGGGGTAGCTGATGAGGAGCGCAGGGCAAGTGGGATGGGAGTGGGATGAGTGGATGGCAAGAAGAGGACGACGATGGTCAGCACTCAGGGGAATGCAGACGGGGCAGTGGCAGGAGCAGAAGTGGTGCGGGGGACACACACTCCTGACTGTTTCACACCTGGAAGAGGCCGACCAGGACACTGAGTGTGGAAGCCACCCGCACCCGCTCAGCATCTCTGGTTGTCTCATTGATAGTGGAGTCGTTCAAGGTCTGCGGGGCCAGGGATTCTGTCACACTGCCCACCATCACAGACATGACAGCAAAGGTCCCTGTAAGGACAGCACGGGGCAGGTCTGAAGGGGAGAGCACGCTGTCCTGCGCTGGAGCCCTGGTCCTAAGAGACAGGCCAGGAGACCTCCAGTTCTGGACAAATGTCCTCAGATTATGGCTGCATGAACAGGGACAGTGCTGGTGGTTCAGGTTTGGCCAGGCCAGGAGTGAACCCTCAGCTCACGGGCCCTTAAGTGTGGCTAGAAATGCTGGCCCTGCCTCATCTACCCTGTCCCACCTGTGTCTACTGGTCCAGGGACACAGAGGCTCTGCGGAGTAGGAAAGAGGTCAGGGCTTGCTTTAGGCTGCTCAGGCCTCCGCCAAGTTCCAGGCCCCTTGGGCTGCCTCGCCCACTCACATCTTCCTGGAGCCAGGGCTTTGAGGTCCCCTGCCTCTGTGGTCCTACAGTCAGGGGTCTAGTCCTGCCTGGGTATGACTCATGGGCTAGCCCAGGGATGCAGCACCAATGCTGCCCTCTTCCCCAGCCACTCCTGCCCTGCTCAGCTCCCCCTCACCCTGCCCTCCATGATGGATGTGGGCATCCTCCTGGAAGGCTAGGCCTGCCTCCACTTACCCACGGAGATGTGCCGGGAAGTGCCAAACAGGAAGTAGATGAAGACGGGGTAGAAGGAGCTATAGAGGCCGAACACGGGGAGCAATCCAGCCAGGAGGGCATAGGCCAAGCCTAGGAGTAGAATGGTAGCAGTGCGGGCCTGGAGAGCAGATCTTGAAATGATAGGGGAATCCCAGCCCTGGGTTAGGTGCCATAGTTCCAAGGTAGAAGTCATGGCCCCAGTTTTGGCCATCACAGACCACAGGGTTTCCAGGCCAACGCACTGAAGGCGGCTCACCCTGTGGAAGCTGCATGATGGCCACACTGATGCCAGATAAAAGGTCACCTAGGAGCCAGTCACGCACAGGATACCGGGGTAACCAGACCAAAACCGGGAGGTGTTGGAGCAGAAGGGCACGGGCCCGAGCATGGGAGCACCTGGGGATGTGATATGAGGGGTAGGTGAGCGTCAGGAACAGGGGCTACCTGGGCCCTGCCAGCACCCCCTAACCCCAATCTTGGCCTTACTGCAACCAGGTCCGCCACTGACGGGTCCTAGGTGCTGATCCCCAGCGCCCCAGCTCCTCCAAATGCTCCTGGTTCAGCAGCGGCCGTTCCATGTGGTAGTCTCGCCTCCGCAGCTCCACTGCTTGTGTTGCAGACAGCAGTGCCTGCGTGTCCCTCGGTCTGGGGTGGCAAGACCAGAGAGAGACAGTGAGGGCACCCCTGGCCCAACCTCCCCTACACCTCCACCTAGGACCAGAGAGTTACCTACCTGATTTTTCCGGGCCCTAAGATCAAGGTACAGTATTCCAGCCCCAAGCTGGCATCTGTGGGCCATATGCCCAAACTCAGACCTGAACTTTGGCTGGTGAGAAAGCCTCTTTCTAGGACAAAGTCCCCCAAGTAGGGACTGCAGGATGAGCACTATCTATACCTCCAGCCGAGATGTGGCTGCCCAGTGCTGAACGCTCTAACAGTCCATGTCCCAGGCTGCTCCCTCCCACCGCAATCCCTCTCCCCTAGCCAATCCCTGTCCAGTCCCCAGGTCCTCCTCCAGCTGTCCCGGGAGCCCACTGCTGGCTGAGAGCACACTCAGGGAAGGGGTCCAGCAAACCAGGGACCAGGGCTCCAGCTCCTCAAGCAACTCCTTTCCCAAGCCTCAGGCCTCAGATGAGACCCTCCCCTCTAAGGGAAGGAAAGTATTGGGGCCAAGCTTGCCCCCGGGCCTCCAGCCCCAGGGTCCAGGTTGTACACTGCTCAGGCCTGGTCTGGGGAAGCCACGGATTGGCTCTCACCTGAGAAGGAGCTCTTTCCAGTGGGAATCTCTCACCTAGAGGGAGAGGCTCCCACCTGGAAAGGGAAGTACCCACTTGAAGTGGGGGAAAGAGCTCACCTGGGAATAGAAGCTTTCAAGGGGAATCTCACCTAGAGGAATCTCTGACCTACCAGAGAATCTTTACCAGCCAGGCAAGTTCTGACATAGGGGGAATCTTCCCTCTGCCCAGAGGCACCTACTTGAAGTCAGAGAAAGATCCCACATAGAAGGAGAAGACCTAGAGGGAGAGGGTTCTCACCTCTGGGGTACTCTCTCTTAGGGGAAGTTCTGACCTGGGGTGAGGCTCCCACGTGGAATGGGGAAAAGCTGTCACCTGTGAATAGATCTCACAGAGGGATCTTACCTGAGGGAAAACTCTAGCCTGTTGGGGAAGATTTCACCAGTCAGGAAAGTTCTGATCTAGGAAAAGCCCTGACCTGGGGAGAGGATCCCATTTGAGGGACAGGAACTCACCTGGGAAGGGCCTCTAACCTGGCTGTACTGTTGGGAGTGTGGAGTGGGTGCAAGGAAGATCCTCAGAAACTCTTGGGACCGCTATCTCAAGGAGATCTTAGAGCCCCCTCTCCCTTCCTACGTGAGTCATTCAGGTTTTCTTAAAGGGCTTCCTCCCCCCACAACGTGGGACCCGCGCCTGGAGGGCGGAGCCTGGATCATTGGCCTCTCCCTGTAGGAGGGCAACTGGGGCCAGAAAGGCTGGAGCGCTCACTCCGGGGTCAGTGGAGCTGGGTGGACTCGGGACCCAGCTGAAAGCAGCTAGTCCACGGGCCGCAGCCAAGGACTCCCGGCCCCCACGTACCCCGGCCGGCACATCTCCTGGCCGGGCTCCTCCATACGCAGCTGCCTCCCTGTGGCCCGGGATGGCCCTCGGGCGGCACACCAGCGGCTTTCCGCACAGCCCAAGGGACTGGGGTCGCGCCGGCTCCAGCCCCTACCCCTTGCTGCAGAGGGGCAGCCGCCTGCATAAAATCGGCAGAGGTAAACCGAGGCGTCGCAAGCGGAGAATGCCTGCTCCAGCGAGGCGCTTGCGCGGGGCCACCGGAGCTGTGCTCTGAACTCACCCCGACGCATCCGCAAGCCCCATGGCTCGCACGTTGTCCGGCGCGGGCTGCTCCTGCTCCTCGGGCTAGAGGCCGCTACGCTCCGGAAGGCGTCGCCGGGACCGAGTGAGGCCAGCGGCGCGCTCCCGGGAGCTAATCCCGGGGCAGGACGGGGAGGCTTGGGCCAATCAGCGCGCTGGGGCGGGACCTAAGTGGCGCGCGCCGGGCGGGGAGAGCCTGGAGAAGAAGGATTTAACCGCTTCCACCCTGGCGACCTGGCCTATGAGGCCTCTCGCTGCTCGCCCGGCCCTCTGCCCCGAGCTGGATGGGACTGCAGAACTGGAACTAAGCACCCGCGCTGGGCTGGCCGTAGTCGCGCCCCGAGGCCTTGAGTAGGTTGGAGCTGATCCCAGGTACTGGCTCGGCGGAAGGTACTCACGGAGTGGGAAAGGGAGACTCCACTGGCCGGGAGGCCTAGGGGTGTGGCCGGTGGACCCCAGCCTTAACTTGTGGGGGATCCAGGTCTGTGGGGCTTCTCATGCCTCCAGCTGAGAGCGCCACCCTCAGGCTTTCTGAGACTAGGCATGTCTTTGAGATCCGGAGCCGACGATCCCCAAGTCCTCCCCTTTAACTCTGGCCACCCAGGCCAGAAATGGTTGGAGGATCCCCTCAGCTGCACTAAGCACAGCCCGGACATCGCTCCCAGAAAGTTCCTGCGCGGGCCGCCGAGGAGAATGGTGGGGGTCGGTGCTGTTGGTGGGCAAGGCGGGAACTGCAAGAGCAGTTCCTCAGGTTGGTTTCACCCAGGTGAGGGCAAAAAATGCCGGACCAGGGCTGCAGAGCCTGAAGAATTAGGAAATCCTGGTGCCGCTGCCTTGACTAGGGGGGAGGTTTCCCTTAGCACCTTATTCTCAGCACCTGTGCTCCAACATCAGGCCCCAATCACAAGGTGAGGAGCCAGATTTCAAGGTGAAAGAGATCTGCCATGAAATGGGCTAAAAATAGCTGGATATTCTTGGGAGGGGCTCAGATTCCTCTCAAAGGTCAGTCTGGCTTGAATCATTCACAGCTGCCATCCTACCTCCCCAGCCCCCAACAGGAAAAGGCAACAACTGTTTTCTATAGAAGTTTATTCCCAAAACAGAGCGCGGCTTCACGGAACAATTTACACAGACAGGACAGAGGGCCGCTGGGCTGGAGGAGGGGAACCCCCCAGAGAGGGGCATCGAGGAAACCTAGGACATAGCAAACTCACCCTCCCACCCCCAGCAGGCCATTCAGCCCTTCAAGAGCTGGGGTCCTTCTGGGTAAGAGTTTGGGTCCTGGCTGGTGGGATTTAGCTCCAGTCAGGGAAGTAGAATTTCTAATCTCCCAGGAAACTGCTTCCCAAGAGTATGCATGGGGTGGTGGGTGAGGAGGTGTCTGCATAGACCACCCCCCAACCCTGCACAGCCACTCTCCCCAGTGGTTAGAGGACGCCTACTCTCAAGGTCTTCTAGGTCTAGGGACTCAAGGCTGACCTTCGGCCTGGGAAAGCTGGGGGTTAGAAAACCCCTCAAGATGGCCAGGTCAGGGTCCTCACAGGTGGGTCCCCCAAGTCCCTCTCCTACTTTCCCTACCTTTCACTTGTAAACAAAGGGGAAAAAAATTCTCTACTGTAAACAAAGTGTAAAAGCTCAAAGTTTTGAGTTGTAAACAAAGTAAAAACATTTTTTGAATCTGGACTTGTAAACAGTAACAAAATTTTAAAGTCTCCAGTTCTGGACAGCAGACAAAATAGCAAAAGTAAGAGTTTTGTGAACAGGGTCGTAACAGTCACTTTTCCCTTTTTAAAGGAATAAAGGAGGAGTGGAATAAAGTCACTTCCTGCAGCCCGGGTGCCTAGGGCCACGGAGGATCCTGTAAACATAGGAGTCAGTGGCACCTACATTCTGGGTCTTGAATTCCCTTGTTTCTGCTCCCTTTGCTCACCTTCCCACCTTAACCTTCAGAATCGATTCAAGCAGGGGGCAGTGTCAGGGAATCAAATGGCACCACAGACAACTTTTGTTCGCTGCAGGGGCAGGTGAATGACCCCTCCACCGACCCTCTGCAGGAATGTCTGACTAGAGGCCCGAGCCCCTCCCCGTGGGAGACAGGGAAGCCTTGCTCTGTAAACACGACATCAGCTGCTCCACCAGCACCCCACAGCATCAGTCCTAGGTCATAAGGCAGTAAGTGGCAGGGACTCCACATAATAAACACACACATCCACCAGGAGGGGCGGCATGAGTGAGCCCCCATGAGGAAGTCAGACGACCCCTGTTTCCAAGACCAACCCCCAGCCCCAGAAGTTTGGCCTTTGGGGCATTCAAGAAAAAGCAAAGGACAATTCTGTGCTTTGGGCCCCTGATGATACTCAGATCAACTTGGGGGTGGAATAGGGGGAGGAAGGCATATGTCCCACCCATCTGAGTCCACCCCAGGAAGAAGAGAGAGATGAGCATAGGGTTTGCTCAGGACCGAAATGGGGTCAAACTGCATGTCTCCCTCTATCTCCCTCCCCCTCCCAGCCCAGCCTCAAACCCCCCAGGAGACAGAAAAGCTGAAAAATAACATAAGCATCTCTCTGGTTACAAAGGTACAAAACGTATAAAAGTCTCCCTCCAGTCCCCCCTCTCTGTACTTGTCACACGCATGCTCACAGATGCGCATGGAGCCTCAACCCTGCCACGCCAGGGAGAGCTGGGGCACCCGCCACTGGGGAGCAGGAGGCTGCCTTGGGATCCGCCCCCACTCCTGGAGTCTCTCCTGTTATCCTCTGTCACCCTCAGCTGTTCCTCGTCCACGCCGTCGTCCTCTCAGGAGTGACCCTCACTTCTGGGAACTCTGGAGGCACATGAGGAAATCAGAGATTGATGCCCAGAGGGCTCCAAGTCAGGCGGCTCTGGATTCCCCCACCACATTTGGCCTGGCTGTTCCCCTTGCCTCCACCATTGCTCTTGCCTCTTAGCCCCCAGCCCCTTCATGCCCACTCTGGGGTTCTCAGAGTCCTTCATTCCGTGCCCCTAGACTCAGCAAGGCTCCTTGGCTGCCTAGGTCTTTTATCTGAGTGCTTCAAGAGCACCTACTGTGTACAGATGCTATGCTGAGCACTTGACAGATATTATCTCATAGATTTCCATGTCTCAAAGAGTTTATTACTACAGACTCCTTTACAGATGAGGAAACTGAGGCCCAGAAAGACTTGCCTCTGCCTAGGGTCACGCAGCTAGTGAGGTAAGACAGAGCTCAAACTCAAACCTCTGTGACTCCAGAGCCTGAACCCCTGCTCAGTCCCTAGTCTACCTCCCAAACAGCCAGACCCCAAAGTTAGACTGCAGGGGGACCCAGGCAGTGGGTTAGCTCCCTCTGGTCCCTACCCCGCAGCAGCCCTCAGTGCCCAGGCCTCAGGACCCCCAAAACCCTGCTCCTTTCTCCTTTGTCCTCTCTCTGCCCTGGGTCCTGGTCAATTCTGTTGGTCCCCTGCCCCACCCCAGGGCTCCCTTCCTCCCCAAGCCATCTCTTACCCCACAAACCCCCAGAGCCTGACCCAGCTGTTTCTCCTCCTTGAAACTCAACTCTCTTCTTGGCTTACAAGACTTGGCAGCTCCTGGTGCCTCCCCACTCCCACCAGTCCCTCTCAGACTCCTGTGTATCCAGCTACTTCCTGGGTCTACTACTTCCTCGGCCTGTCTGCCACTCCCTTCCCCACAGATGCTTCATAGGCACCCGAGATGAACCAGGTTCTAACTCAGTTCCTGTGAGCCCCACCCCAAAGTGTCCACAGACAGGAAGAACTCAATATTGACTGAATACATCGATGAATGAATGATTTATCCTCAACAAAGCAAGCTCTTCAGCCTGGTATATCCTGGTACCACTTCCAGCCTCTCCTTGTCCTATACGACCCCCTAGGCGAAGCTTCCCAAGCAAGGCCTCCTGCTCTCCTCCCTGCCCCTTGCATATTCCAGGTCATCTCCCACTTCTAGGCCTCAGCTCCTGTCCTCCCCTCCACTAGCTCAACACATTGGAAGGCACCTATTTCTCCTTAGCCTGGGAGGTGCTGGGAAGGCTGGCTGGCCCCAGTCACACAGCCAGCAAGTCACTGCTAGTCACAACCCCCATTTCTTGCCAGATTTCTGTCCCCAGCCTGTGGCCTTCTGGCTGTGCCCGGCCTGGGGTAGCCCATACCTGTCTGCCAGCCCTCATCCCCTTCTGTGGCAGAACACAGGGCAGGGCACACAGGAGGTTGCCCTAAGCTGATGAGGGTGCAAGCAGGTGGCTGGACCATACTTACTCTGAGTCTGGCGACAGCTCCGAGATGCTATGAGATGTGGCGGAACGTGGCGTGGAGGGCCCAAGCACAGAGGCTGTGGCAGAAGGTGTGGCAGTGGTATGAGGGCCCGAGGGTGTGCTTGAAGATTGCACGGAGGAGAGGGCCGAGGAGTTGAAAGAGGCAAGGATGGAGGAAAGAATGTCCAACTGCTCTGTGGAGGGGCCATGGCTAGGGCCACTGACCGGGTCCTCCCTAGCTCTGAGCAGCTGTGGGGGTGGCCCAAGGGCTTCACGTGAGGGGTGCCGGCTAGGCACCTGGTCCAGCCGCTCCCGAGAGTTCGAGCTCCTAGACAGAGAGTCCAGTGGCCGGGATGGCAAGAGGGGGTCCCTTGAGAGTTGCCGCTGGGGAGACAGGGACAGAGGTGGGGGCTGTGGATCAAGGTCCCGGGTGCAGCGGGGCGGGGGCAGCGTGCTCAACCACTCTCGAGGTGCCCCTAAGTCCAGCGCATCCCGTGACCCGAAGCGGCCAGCCATGGCGCCAGGGTAGTCCCGGGGTGGCTGCCTCCGTGGCAGGGTGCTGCCCCGATCTCTGGGCTCCAGTCGGCCCGGTGCAGCGTCCATGCATTCCTGGGACCCTGGCCGGCTCAGGGGATGTGGAACAGGGTCAGGGGCCTCCTCTAGTCGCTCACGGCTCAGTTGCCGCCGGAGGAGCAGGTCCAGCTGTTCTCTAGAAGAGTAGCGGCTGGCTGGCTGTGAAAGACTGCCTGTGCCCCTGCCAGCATAGATGCGACCATAAGAGGCAGCTGGCACAGCACGGTGGCCCAAGGTGGCTGCACGGCACCAGGACAGCTCAGGGGCGCCTCGGGTCTGTGGCACCAGTGGGTATTGCAACCGGTTCTTCAGGATGCCTATGAGAGGAAGAAAACGGGGGGCAGGGTGTGTGTGGGAGGGGGAGGGCAGGCAGGAATTCCTGAGTCTAGGGGTGTGGCAGCCCTTGGGATCCTTCCAACACAGGGTTGGGAGCAGCAGAGGCAACCCTGGTGGTCCCAGAGAGGCAGCAGGACAGGGGTCAGAGTGGAAGGGCAGTCATCTTCCAGTTGTGGTCCCAAGGCGTGGGGGAAGGCGGGCAGGTCCCATGGTGCAGGGGATGGGACAAACTCCCTGAGGTCAGAAAAGGGGCAGCCCTCAGATCCTGACAATGCAAGCCTGGCTGAAATGCAGGAAGCCCGTGGGTTGGGCAGGAGCAGTCCCCAGGGTCCCTGTGATGCAAGGGTGAGGGCAGAAACCTCTTTTCTCCGAGTTCCCATAAGAGCAGAGTGGGGGGCAGAAATCTTCCAGATCAGAGCAGGAGCTCTGGAATCTGGGTGGGAGGCCAGGGGGAAGCAACTCCTAGGGTCTCTGAAAACAGACGGGCTGGCGCAGGAGTGGTCCCCTGTGGTCCCCCTGTAGTGCCAGCCAGGGTAGAGGGGGACAGAGAATTCCCAGGTCAGGATAGGAGCAGTCCCTGAGGACCATGAAACAGGCTAGAGAAGCAGAAGCCCCCCAGGTCAGAATAAGAAGAGCTCTCAGTTTGGGATGAGGAAGCTGCAGTCCCTTGGCTCAGGGCATGAGCAGCCCCCAGCATTCCTGTAGTGCGGGCCAGGGCTCAGGGACTGTACCTTTCCTCTGGCGCTGGGCCCGGCCCAGAGAAGTCTCATCCCCACTGGTCAGGGCCG